ACTTTCCTATAGTCTCTCCTTAGAGCTCTCAGTTCCCTTTCCTTTACTAGTACTAGTCCTCCTCAAGTATAGAGCTACAGAGTATTGGCTCTAGCTCTTTACTAGCTTTAATAGTCCTTTGTCTTTGTACAAAGTGTTCCTAGCTAACTATATAGTAAGTAAGTATAATATTTTCCTTTTATCTCTTCAGGTTTTCTCCTAGTCTTTTCCTTTATACTTCTTACTCTGGACACTATACTCTTTCCAGATCCCCTCTCTATACAAGCATTCTAAATGACTTGTCTTTAGTTGAGGTTATTAAGTAATACTGTGCTAGAGTATGTATTTAACCTTGGAGAGATAAAGACCTTGTTCTCAGGTTTTGTTACCTTTTCCTAACTGACTTAGTACCTACTCCTTCCTGTCCCCTCTCTCTACTAATGGATTGATCACCCATTAGTAATAATTAGAGGTTAATAATACTAAGCTGGAGTTCTTACTAAGTAGGACAACAAAGGTAGCCTAGTTGATCTAGCCAATCTCTAGACTTGTGACTAATAGGGTTTTGTATATAAACTACTCAGTCCCAAGTCTTAAGTTAAGCTTTTCCAAACTTAGTTACTGTATTTTACAATTCCTAACAAGTCTGGGCACAAACAACACAGAACACTAGAACACAGTAAAAAGTATTCCAACTTTATTTAGATTTAGTAATAAATAGGTGTGAAGTCTAGCTACCTTTAGATGAATGTAATAAGGCAATTATTAGGCTCCCAAATCAGTCTAACCTTATTGCCTTGGTACAAAGTGTAATATTACTAGAAGTACTATATAATATATAAGGCAAGAATGTAATAATTTGTACCTTCTAGCTTTACAGTATGTTTAGTAGAGGCTAGAGGGGCAATCACACACATAGATCACACAAGTCACATAGATCTGAGCATTCTACACATTACAAAGACACTCAGAATTCTCAAGAGTCAGATGTAATAATGAATAGTACTACTGTAAAATTTAAAGGAAATGAAAGGGATACAGAGAACACACAGAACACACTTACAAGTAATGTCAAGTGAAGGCTATAGTAAATGAGTTTATTGTTGCAGAAAATGGAATACTTAAGTCAATTACAGTATTATATAACCTTGTGAATCAATATATGAACAAGTCAGGATCAGATCCACAAGTAATGGAAAGTAAGTTTAATAGTATGATTTCTGAAGATATTATAGTATTTACAATTGATTACAGTACTAACAAGAAAGTTTAAAGTTATAAAACTGATGATGGATGCCTTACAGCTAATGTGACAACTTGAGATAGTATAAAATAGTATATAGAGCTCAGAATAACAGTCAATCAGTAATCTAATACATACAGTGTTCTACAATGTAGAATGATTAGTTTACCTACATTCTCTATCTTAATAGTATTGTGTATAATAAACAGTCAGGATCTACTACATCACAAAAAAGGCCAAACTCTTGTTTAGTCATGTATGCTAGTAGATTTTGTAAAATATTTAAAATATATACCTGTGTATGCTTTCCTCCTAAAAAATGACATGCCACAAGAAGGTACTACAAGAACTACAAGTCTTATACAACATATATTCAATAAACAGTAATCTATATCTTGTAGATAACTAAAAGTGTATGTATTCCTCCTCCAATATGACAATATAATAATATTCTTCTGGATTTCTGTAATAGCTAGTAGATTCTTGTATGATCTTATAAGTATAATATAGTACTGCAAGTCTAGCTCATATAATAAGCACCTTGTCACACCATTTATTTTATAAATTCAAAATATAATATATTAAATAGTAAATAATACATGTACTACTATCTACAATATTTATATCAGGTAATAGACAAACCAGGATCCTTCTTTCAACTTCGCAGGCAGAATTCGCAACGGAAGAATAAATGCATTCTCAAGCTGATTGATGTAGCCTTCGTCACCACGCCTTGGTTGCTGCTCAGTCCCAGCGAGCCGAGTTGCACGTGTGTACGGTGTGCTTGTCAGACAGGTTGTAAGATTGACTTACTAAGTTGGGAGTGAAATGTTAGCGTGTGCTGGTACTTGAAGCAAAAAGGAGGATGTACCGTAGCAGTGTGCAGCAAGTGTGAGTTATGCACCAGGGTTGAGATTCGGAGCGTTGAACGAGCTGATTTGGGCAGCGAGCAAAGCCGTGTCTGTACATGCACAATGCATGCTCTGACCTCGACGTTCCATCAGAGGTGCAATGAACTGAGTAGTAGTCGTGAATGACTTCAAAGGTGTATCTCTGGGACGTTCTGACTCGAAGGGAGAGGGTGAAGTGGATGGTCAAGACAGACTCGGCTCAGGAGGGGTGAGCAATGGCCACTGCTGCCGCTATTCGAAATGGTGTCAAGCTCAGCACAGAGGAATGTAAATGCACGCGGTGTGGGCCTATTGAGAGTGATGTCAGGCATTGAACGAGTGGGGAAGGAGAATGCGTACGGAGTAAGAGAGGGTGGCATAATGGGAGTAGACGTACATGCACATTGTTGCGAGCGTGTGCTCGTCGATTACAGTATTGCTTGCGCTGCACAGCGGAAAGGAGTACGCAAATGCATGGAATTATTGAAGAAGTCGTTCGGCATTGATCAATAATGTAGATGTTCAAATGCGAATGTAAAAAGGAAGGCGAACGTAAAAAAAGGACAACGAAGAGGAGGCGACGCAAGAGACAGCGAGGAGCGGGAGGACAGAAGGCAGACAAAAAGTTGGGAGGAGAAGGATGAGCAACTATTGTGCAGATTATCATGAAGTAGACTGGCTGCTTACGCTTTACGTTGAAGGACGGTGTAATCAGCTGGATGGCATCATCGCAGGATCTGAGGCCCAGCGTGGGCATTGCAGCAGCGGGTTGGAGAGACGAGTGCAGTGATGTTTATTGCCTATGTTGTTGCAGGCAGAGTGCCTGCTGGTAGGACGCTTGCGAGCAGAGGACTTGACTAGAGACTCAGAGAACAGAAGCAACGACATAGTGTTGGGGGCAGAGGGTTGGGGAGATGGTGAAGGTAGGAGGTAAAGGAGTGACGAAGAGAAATGCGTCATTATATGCTCTCGATCCTCAGCTTCGATTACATAAGCAAAGGGCGAAGGAAGAGCGTGTGCTCAAATAATTTATACACGTTGAATATTTGGTTATAGATACATTGTATTCATTATAAAATGTATTATAAATACGGTTATTTCTACTATAATAATATAACACAATATTGAATTAATTATAAACCTACTACTAGTCCTTTGTCTAACTTATCTGTGTATAATTAGTATAGTATTAAATTTATATGATTATTGAAATACCTTTACTAATATCATCATTCAATTCTAATAGTTTATGATTTTTATATACATAGATATGACTTGTACATAACTTGTAAGTACTTAAATACTCTTCTAAATGTTATACATTACTAATATTAGTCTGTTATAATTATTGTAAGAAAGAAACATGACTAATACTTAAATACAAGTGTATCACATCAATTGTAATATTAATACACTAGCAGATTTGACTTGTATGTATATAACATGAATCTATAAGAAGTATATATGCTATGTATTTGCTTAGAAGTCTTGTACTTACTCTATACAGTAGCTATATTAGCTATAGTATATTACATGATTTATAAGGTCATACATGCATTTAGCCTTTTTTGTGATGTACTAGCAGGACAATAGAGAGCTACTGTCCCTATTACTAAATCTGACATCTGTCTTTACAGAGTTCTAGTGAGTGCTGACAATTGCTGAACTGACCTTACATAGAGTTGAGCACATTTGAAATTCAAGTAATGTAAGTTAATCAGAAAACTAAAAGCCACAGTCTCCTCAGCTGTACTAGTAGAAGAGCTACTGCCCTACTGCCAACTCAGACATTAGACATTGACTGTTCTAACTATTAGTGTTAATTTTGCTTTTACTGTCTACTCTTAGTTTACTATCTCAATATAATGTTTGCACAGCTCTGTTATGTGACACAGACCAATTATAGTACATCTACCAGAAAACTATGCTGCAAATTACTTACATGGTTTTAGACTAAAAGCTACAGCCAGAGTTCTCACAATACCTTTGTATTACACATAAACTTTGTTCTGAATTTGGTGGGTTCAAAGTCTAAGCAATATTAATTATACCTGGTTTGGTGTGCATTAGATCAGCTTTCCATCTAGTTAGTTTTGACTTTGGTGCAAAGTAAAATTTAGCTTTAAAGACCATCAAGTGCTATTAATAAAGTGTTGTTACCTGTGATTACAAATTTTGTACAATGTCTTCAGGTCCCAGAAAAAAACACCAGCACCAAGGTCACAGGAATTCCAAGAATACAGGCAGGAAAGGTGAGAAGTCAAGCAGTCTGCTCGTCAGTTGTGTTTCTGTTCAGTCTGGTGCTGACAGTAGCAAGGTGCTCCACCCGAGGTGAAGGCAGAGAATTCTGCTGCAACCAATGATCCACAACCATCTTATCATGACCAGCTTGCTGGACCCCTGAGTAACATAGTTAATCAACTCCAATCCATTAAGGACATTCTGAATCAAGCCAGGGGGCAGAGTGACGAGTCACTTGAAGCGTACCTTGTAGGACCAAACATGGGAGTTACTAAGGATGAGAGCAGAAGGTCCACAAAGACCATCCTGACGTGCATTTCAATTCTACAAGATTTGGAATATAAGAGAGGGTTGTTATTGACAATGATTCATGCTTGTAGTCTGATGTGGCACACGCAAACAAGTTGAAGGAAGTGAGGCGAGGTATGGATTGTATGTTGCATTAGAATACAGTAGTTACGTGCAATGGAGTCCGCTTTACAAGTTGATAGACCGAGTATTTGCGCGATGCTGCATTGTTACAGGAAAAGGAGTGTCTTCAAAATGAAACGAAATCTTTATTAGTCGACGCGTCCAGACGTGTTGCCGTCTCGTGACTTCAGAATGCCCAGGCCGTGTTTCATCTCATTTGTCTCAATGTACTCTCCATGTCGACCCCCTCTCTCGACGACGAACTAACAAAACCCACCAGCGCACTGGATAGTTCGCGCATAGTTCGCGGTGAACGACTCGCCTTCCCTCCAATCTATGTCCTAGTCGGCGCATACCGCCTCCTCACTGACAAGAATCTCTACATCCCAACATGGGATAAATGTAAACATGGATTCGTACGCGGTGCTATTGTTGGGCTTGGTTGGGTACGTTATTATATCTCCTTTTTGTGCCAGGTTGCCGGAATGCTGAAAGGAAGGTTAACTTTTGATGTGTAGGCTACAGTGACGTTCAATATCCAACGAACGTTCGTCGAGGTTTTCTTGAGGAAGTGTGTTGGATTTTCTTAGTCCACGATACCTGTTTGTTTTACTTACCTTACATTGCCCTTTGCAGTTCGCCACGCGTCACTGGTCTCTCGCACGACAGACTCTTCGGGTACCAACTCCCATTCAGCATCACAACCTGTAAGTCCACTCTCCTCCAAAGATAATCTTCAGACAAATTCCTCACCTTCAGCTCCTATCAGACGCAACCCTCCTCTTCCTTTCAAACCAACTAACCGTCATCCTCACTTTCTTCCTCTCCAAAAATCTTCGCATCGCACGAGACAGGGCATGGGACCACACAGTCCGATCACGCGGAAAAACTCCAGATTTCTGGGGTCCATACGTCGAGGAGTTCGCCGTACCTCCACGACCACGAAAAGGTGGAGGATGGGAGAAATGGGCGGGTAGCTTTGTTGGGCGGTTCTTCATACGTAGAGGTAAGAAAGTCTGAATTTAGATTAAGTGTCTGGGTCAATGGAGGCTAATACGATTTAATAGTATTGTTGTTGCCATTGAATTTCTACCCTGTCATCGGTATATTCGTAGGCGCATACCTGAAAGCAATCGGTACAGCACGTTACTTACACAACCGGGTACGCATATTTCATTGTCTTACACTAATCACTCCTAATTATACCCAATATTCAGTATTTTGAAGCAAAGAAAATGTCAAAAGACCAAATAGCCATTTTCATGGAGGAGCGTAATTGGCACTATCGTGGTAATTATTCCATGACACTGAGCAAGAATCAACTAATCTGACAACACCATTGTTAGCATTTGGGTTCACTGCCTCTTTACTTGAAGGCCTCCCTATTGTCGGCCTTGTCTTCTCCATCTCAAACCGTGTCGGAGCGGCCATGTGGGCACATGGTTAGAACCTGAGATTACTTATCTTCTGTAAAGACACATAGCTAACTTTCATGTTATTCAGACCTGGAGAAACGCCAGCACGAATTCGCGTCCGGCCAGGTTAAACCAATCATGCCGACTCCTTCCAGTGAAACTGAACTCAGACCAATGGTTGGCGGTTGGAAGGACGCAGATAGTACTTCAGAAGATCCTATTCCGAAAGAATTGTAGACTGACTGGTCAAAAGAATGAACTTGCATTGTACAGTAAAGTAACTAGATACGCTGCCGCGTTATAACTAAGAGAGTGAGAAGGTAAATTCTATGCAAAGCGACGAGATAAAGAGATAATGAATCTATGCTCGACTCTTCTTTGGTGCTTTCGTTAATGGTGGTGTATTGGCGCGTGAGCCCTTCCCAGATTTCGTACCAGAAGCACTAGGTGTAGCAGCATCATCTGCAGCTCGCTTTTTGCCACGAGAACCACCCTTCGTCTTAGCTTCCTCTTCTTGCTCCTGGTCCGCCTCTTTCTCAATCAATCCAAGAAGTGTTGTACAGCGACGTTGCAGCTCCTGAGGTGTCCGGCTCTTGAAGAACCAGTCAAATCGGAAAACAGGGAACTCCGTAATATCCCGCTTGATTCGCTCGTAGACATCGTCCGCTTTGAGCCCGTAGTAGTGCAATCGGCAAAGGAGGTATCGGTCTTCCTCTTCACTGTAGATCTTCCCTTTCGTCGTTGGATAATTAAGTTCAAGCTCTTGCATAGGGTACTGCACTGCATTGATCTTCTTTGACAACATCCTCCAAAGTGCATCTTGTTTCCTTCGCTTCTCTTCTCCATCTTCGATACGTTGCTTTGTGCGCTGGTAATCTGGAATATCATTGGAAGTCAACGACATGTTAAGGAAAAGGTAGAATTATGCCAACCTGATAGTTTGTGCCAGTTCTGCCTGAAGACTTGATAATATGCCTTCACCTCTTGGGGTGTTTTTTCGGGGATTTCACTGGAGAAGAGTTCGAAGTCATCGGTCCTAAAGTTGCCCAGGTTAGTAAACAGACAGATCCGACTGGTTAGCAACTAAACTCACCATCCATGATTCTCCAATGCTCGAACAAATGCTTGGTAATCACGCTTGTTCCAATTTTCGAAACCTTGAGCCACCAACTCATCCTTCTCCTCTTGCTCCTCTTGGGTGAGAGGAATTGCATCGTCAATCTTCGCTTGTTCCGCCGCTCGCTCTTCTTCCAGTTCTTCTGGAGAAAGGTTGGGATTATTGGGTGCAGCAGGAATGCCATGCTCTTTCTATAAGGCGATAAGCAACGTCAGGTCAGCAAAAGCATGCCTCTATACAATGACTCAAGCTTACCCTATAAGCATTGTATTCTCGTTCCTGGAGTTCCTGCAATCGTGGAGGGTAGAACTGAAACTCTTGCCTAGAGAAAGATCATGCTCGTCAGAGGAAAGCAAGAATGAGTTAAAGGATACCAACAAGTTGAGTTGCTTCGGTGCTCGGGGAAGTTTGGGCGCCTTGTCGGGTTTCGCCTGACCTGCGCGCATGGTCTCCTTATAATACGCATCCACCGAGTAATTTAACTTGCGCTCTCGTTTCGACAATGACAGTAGATCCAAGCCGAGGTTAGGACGCTTCAAACGAAAGAGTTCAGTAAACTTGAATAGGTCATGACAACCGACTACGTACATTCTTTGCACCCTCGCTCTCCCATGCTAGCATTGAATCCGACTTGAAGTTATTGAGGTCTTCAAAGTTCAGGCCCTCATATTTGCTGTTGAGTTCGGCTGTTCGTTCCTCGCCGTGCAGGATGATCTTGTCAATATCGTCGTCAACCGTGAGCCTAGAAAAAACGTCAGTGTCTGCATCGCGCTTCCTATAAGGACGACCTTACGTGTCTGATGAATTAATAATCTTGTCGGCTCCGTGGGTGATCATCTCCATAAGCTCTTCCTTATTTGCAGCTACGAAGACTTCAGTCGATGTAGAGCGGCACGTTCACAATAGACGTACCTTTGGTAATCTGTGTGCGGCCTTGCTGAATGACAAGCTGATCCAGGCGTAGCTTCTGGGCGGCACGTTCAAGCATCCGTTCCTCGACACTGTTCTCCGTGATGAACCGGAAAACGTAGACTTGTTTCGTTTGGCCGATACGATGTGCACGGTCCATTGCCTGTAGGTCAGCCTGAGGGTTCCTGCATCACAATTTATCAAAAAGTTGTCCAGATCACACTATTAACGAAATTCGTACCAGTCGCTATCATATAAAACGACAATGTCTGCTGTCGTTAGGTTGATGCCGAGACCTCCGGCACGGGTGGTAAGTAAGAACAAGAACTTCTCGCTGCCTGGCTTGTTGTATTCATCGATCGCGGTGATACGGTCCTCATGAGCAGTTCCACCATCAATTCGACAATACTCTGTTAAGATATGAATAACCGGTTGTACGAGGTAACACGACAAAGACGTACTGTAACCCCTGAAGATGGAATAGTCTTCAAGGATGTCGAGAACACGACTCATTTGACTGAAGATAAGAACACGGGACCCTTTCTCCTTCATTGATTTAAGTAGCTTGTCAAGGATGACCATCTTTCCAGCATTATCGATGAGATGCTCGTCAGTCGTGTATGGTGGACCAGGTTCCTTGACAAGGCATCAGAGAAAAATATTTGTGGACCCAAGGATTCACTCACAGCTCCATCAAACAGATAAGGGTGACAGCACACTTAAGGAAGACGATGAACGGATGTCCAATATTGTAAGGATTTATCTCACCTTTTCGCAACTAAAAAAGGGAGTTAGTGACGACTCTCAATATGAACTGATAAAACAAACCGACCTGCATTACAATGTTCATTAGCCTAGTCTTGCCCTCCTTTTTTCCGGTCAAGCCTACGGAACGAACTTAGTGCATAGCCACGACATAATTGCCGGGAAAACCCACCATTGACCGCGTCAATGTCTTTTGATAGAACCGACTTGTACCACTTGCGCTGCATCTCCGTCAACCCGACATAGATATTGATTTCCTTCTCTGAAAGTGAGGTTAGTATGTGCAGGACATACAATCCTAACTAGACTTACTCGGAAGGAGGTTCTTCTCAACATCGGACTTGACACGGCGAAGCAGGAACGGTCGCAAGATCTTATGCAACGCCTCTACAACTTTCTTACTCGTCTCCTGATCATCCGTCTCGCCGCTGTCGTCTTTGTGCAGAAAGCTTTCTAGGTCGGCATAGTCCGAGAATATTTCGGGACAAATAAAGTTCAGCAGCGCAAACAGCTCCTTCATATTATTTTGCAGAGGCGTCCCGGTGATAAGTAATCGTCCACGGCTGGTGAACGCACGAACAATCTGAGAGAGAATGGAATCGATGTTCTTGATACGATGAGCTTCATCAATCACGATTTGTGCAAACGACATCTTCTTCAGCGCAGACTTCTCGATGAGACAGATTTCGTACGTGGTGATACAGACTTCGAAGTCCATTGGGATTAGTCTGTTCTGAATCACGTCCTGTCGCTCCTCCTTGGTGCCCGATAATAGTGCGATATTAAAGTCAGGCGTCCACTTAGCAAATTCGCGGGCCCAGTTTTGCAATGTGGACTTCGGCACAACGATGAGGTGAGGTCCGCCGATATCTCGGTAGTGCTTAAGGTATGCCAAGAAGGAGATCGTTTGCAGCGTCTTTCCTAATCCCATTTCGTCGGCAAGGATACCGTTGAGACCATTGTGGTGAAGCGAGACCATCCAGTTCAGGCCTTGAACCTGATATGGTCGCATTGTACCGCTGATGACTACAACATTTGTTTAGACTTCGTACGTCATAGCACCCCTAGGCAGACTCACATTGAGGAGATTCTTCAAATACAAAAGGCTGATCATCGCCGTCTACTGCGCGCTCACCGTCTTGGAGCAGTTCCTCATCTTCTTCCTTCTCGGACTTTCGTCGTCGAGCACTCGTGTCCCTGGCAGAAACATAAGACAGAGTATATAATAAAAGCACGACAAGACTAACGTTGGTTTTTTCCTGCCCCGACCCTTTGGCTTGGGCTGCGCATCCAGAAGTGCTGCGTACTCCGGATCGCGGGTTCGCTACATGGGATAGACTACTTGGAACCGGACAGCAAAAAACTCGTAAAAATCAACGCACCTTCATGTCAACGAAGTGCTTAAAGAGGTCCGTCTGCCCAAGGAGATACGAATATCTCTTCACGGCGTCAGATATCTATAACACGTTAACGCCATGCATGAAACAGGACTAATCAATTTATTTACCTTCGCCTTGTCCATTTCCTGTCGCTTTTTGGTGAGGTGCCCTTCGGCATCCTTCCATTTACCCCTCTTTTTTGGGGATGCCTTTTGGTCAGATGGGGAAGCTAATTGGTCTTCCTCCTGCACCAAGCGACGCGTTAGAGTAGACGCGTCAATGACGAATGAACACAACGCACAGGCTCAGCACCATCAGCTCCCTGGTCCCCGTCGACATCCATACCTTCCTCAGTATATATACTTTCAACATCCGCACCCTCACTCGGCTACATGGGGTATCAACGTCCAAGAACAAGCACGAAACTTTATAAAGAAATATTGTACCTGACGCGACACGATATTGCTCGGAATGACATCGCTGAGGATATCTTCTTCCATTGGTTGAGGCGTAGCGAGATGCTAGGAGTGGTTGAGTTATGAATTGACGCGTACATAGAGAGTGACTTACGCTCATGGTGGAAGGATGAGTGAGAGTTGAGGTGAGGGTTGTTGCCACAAGACAAGCACGGGTGGACGGACGCCTTGACTGGTTCACTCGCGTCAGGTTTGTAGCTCCGTTCCCACGCATACACTCAAACCGCAAGCCATTTATTTCACTGTGATCATCTGTAGAAAATACGAGAAATACTTACGCGTGATACAACCAGTCAGATGCAACCGGAAATAAATTTGAAAGATTATGTAGATGATATTCTAAATAAAGTCACGTTTTGCTATTTGAAGCTCCTAAGTCCTATAGAATATACTAGACTATGAATAACTTAGGTAGCTACAGACACTAGTATTAGTAAATCATAATTTCTATTTGCACCCTTAACAAGCCTTTGTGTTTTCTCACAGATCATCCATTGCTCACGGTGCACTGTGCTTGGTCTCTGACAGCATGCAGCTACCGACGGGTCAATCTGGCTCGTGCAATTCTCGCATCGTGGCGAGTGTCATGGTCATGTCAGAAAGTGCCTCTCGAGGGATGTCGTGTACGCAAGGAATCCGACCAGGCGCCTTCTCACAGCAATGAGAAATACATTCTACGCTGTAGTATACTATCAAGTTTCTTTTATCTACCTTATGAATTTCCAACATTGGCTCCTTTTCATTCTGTGCTTCCACCTAACGCCTTTGTTACTGTTTTCCTTTCCAGCGATCTGTCCACAACTCTTGATTCCTCTCGTAATTGGTATTGAACATCACATTCACTGTGAGCCTTTCTATTCCCATTTTTTGCTTTATCTTTTTTATTAATACCATTTTTAATCCACAGACACTTGGCCCTTTCAAGTAACGTTTGTTCACCTTCAAAGCTTGACCTTTTGATCAAATACCATGGTTCATACTTTCGGACGCAATAAAACACTGAATTACTTCTCCCAAGACGCAACATAGTACAACTATTACTTTCAGTACAGACTTGGCTTTATCTTGCAACCGAAGGTGTGCCATCATCAGACAATAAAGCTTTCCTCCTCTGAGTCATTGCTGTAGAGTTTGGGGAAGGGGCAGAAAGGATAGGTTTCTTATTATTGTTACCAACAATCTCCTATTGATCTCATCCTTTCATGCCTATGATTCTGGACATAAGCTCTTTATGGATTTTGTAGCTGCGAAAGTTGAGTATAATGTGCAACCCTAGGTTCTGAGCAAATTGCATTACATACTATTGTTCCATCTTGTATATCACTTTTGCCCTTTCTCATTGATCATTACATTGTCCTGCACCTCAACGGACATCACACTTTCAATACACTCCTAGCATGACTACTGCGATATATAAGTAATCATTTTCTGTTCCTAGCCGCAGAGTCGTGCTAAAAGCTCAATTCAAAGTGCAAGCTTCTTCCACAGATCCCGTTCGTTGTATTAACTCGCATAGTGAGGAATTGGCCATTCACCCACTTCTTGAAAGTGAGTATCTTTATATTTCACACTCAAAGGAATGATGACAGAAGGACTTGTGACCCACATAGACACTTTGTGCAAAAGACTACAGACAGATAACGCAAGTTTCAAGGTCGAAGGAGGATTTCAGGTAATGCATCCTAGTAGCTTGTTCGTTTCTTTTCTATTAACAGCACAGCTCAGGTGAAGAATAATGCATGATTGACGAGCTGTACTACAATTAAGCGCATACATGGAGTATTACGTGGACCTCGAATTGATTTGCCATGTAAGCCACCAAATGGCCCATAACCACTGGAAACACTTCGAGCAATCATGTGAACAACATCACGAAAAAGTCGCAACAAATGTAATTAATAATAGCAAATATAATATTATAATGTACTTATATATTAATTACAATTCAAAATTACAATTATACTTTGCCTGTAATTGAAATGTAACAACTATATATAAATGTAATACTTATACAAAAATTGTATTATACTACAATTGTTTTTTGAAGCAAGTAATGTTACTACCAGTATTACTACAATATTATATGTGAGACACAAGTACTTAACTTTTATTGTAATATGTTAAAATTGTATATAATTTAAATACAACAGTAGCCAATTACTAATAAAGTTTATAACAGTTCTCTATTACTCTTGCAAGTGTTTTATAAGAGTTCAACTTTTGTTATATTATAATGGAAGTATTACATTACTCTTGTAATATATAAGTCAGAGTAATTATACTCTTGTAAAGTAAATAATTAGCTGAACAGCTGTTTATAATAAGCTTATAAGTATCTCAAGTACTATCCAAAATATATGTACATTTATTCTTATCAGTCAACTGAGCATTTATAATAATAATATTTTAAATGTGATACTTATAATATAAATTATCTGTGATTACGTAATCAAGAACTGAAGATCAAGCACATATAATGACACACTTGTCCTTGTCACTTCTTTTCCTCCTACCTTCACCATCTCCCCAACCTCTTCCCCCAACACTATGTTGTTACTCTTGTTCTCTCCAGCCCAGTCCTCTACTTGCAGGCATCCTCTAGCAGGCACTCTGCCTGCAACAACCTAGACAATAAACATTACTACACTTGTCTCTCTAATCTGTTGTTGTAATGCCTGTACTGAGCCTCAGATTGTGTGACAACAAGACCCAGCTGGCTACACTGTCCTTTAGTATAAAGTGTAAGCAGCCAGTCCCTTCATAATAGCCTACACAATAGCTGCTCATCCCTCTCCTCCCAACTTTTTGTCTCCCTTCCATCCCTTCTGCTTCTTACTCTGCCTCTTACTCTGCCTCTCCTTTGTTGTCCTCCTTTTTTTCACATTCCTCTTCCTTTTTACATTCACATTTGCACTTCTGTATTGTTGACTAATACTGAACAACTTCTTCAATAATTCCATGTATTCACATTCTTCTTCCTGCTCTATAGTATAAGTAACAATTGACAAGCACATGTGAGCATGCTTGTAACAATGTTCATGTTGGATCACTCCTAAGACACAATCCTCTCTCCAACCCTATGTGTACTCTCCTCCTCTACCCACTATTCTATACTTAACATCCTTGATAGACTCACACTATGTGCCTTTACATTCCCTAGTACTGTCTATGACACCATTTTGAATAATGGAAGCAGTAGCCACTACTCACCCCTCCTGAGCCAAGTCTGTCCACACTTTGTACATTACCTTCTCCCTTCAAGCCAGAACGTCTCAGAGATACACCTTGCAATTAATGACTCAGTTTACTACACCTCCTATTAGATACTGTAGATAGATAATAGAGTGTATATACACAGACACAATTTTGTCTGTAGTCCAAATCAGCTTTTCCAACACTCTGCATCTTGATCTGTATACACTACTCACACTTACTACATACTGCCACAGTGTGTCCATCTTTTCTTACTTGTTACTACTCACTAATCACTCTAAACCTGTCTTACAGACACAGTCTCACCCTTTACAATCTGCTCAACCTTACAACTCACACACATACACAATTCTACTTGCAGGGACTGAGTAACAATCAAGGCCTGGTGACAAAGACTACATTAAACAGTCTAAGAACACATCAATCCTTTATTAACATGAACTCTACTTGTAAAAGAACAAGACAGAGGCTACTAGTAGTGTAGGGATTAGGATTGTAGAAATAATGTATTATTTACTATCTTTTTGTATTCTATAATCAAATATAATTATATTTTATTAATTATTTAATACAAATTTGTAAGCAAAGCCAAAACAAGCTATTCAAATGCTTGTGATGACTGGTATAAATTGTAAGAGGATACTATACTGTTAAAATTTAATAAGTATATTCTAACATTATTATTTTAGGAGGTATGTTATAATCACTTGTATATCTTGACAATATGTACAATCATAATTAATATTAGTAATTTTAATAGCTATTCTGGATTCTTGCTTTACTTGTACTAAATTATAATTGACTTGTAAAAAGGCCTATCTAAGTTATTATCACTTTTACAAAATTTACAAAAAGTAAAAAATATACTAGGTTATAATCTAATACAACTGTTAAGACTTTTTTGTGATGAAGAAGAAATTGACAAGTCCATTTTTTATAGTTGCATTTCCCTTAGACTTTGTTCTAAAGGATGTCCACACTGTTCTAATGTATTGAATAATCTTGGACTTTTTCTTTTTACACAATTCTAGTAATATGGAAGAGTAGAGGATCTGGAGGAAGCTATCAAGGTTCAGCATGCTGTACTGGCAGTACTGCAACTTCTTCCTAAGAATCATCCAGATTGCTTCAAACCTCTGAATAATCTTGCAAACACCTTTCAGACTTGGTTTAAACACTATGGATGAACTGCAGACCTTAGTAGTGCTCTGCATGTAGTATATACACTTATGTGTGTAAAATTTCCCATGTATACACATATGCATGTATAATTATGAGCATAAACTGGGTCAGTAGGACCTATATATAATACACTACTTCTGTATATGCTGTGCCAAATATAACAAGATACTTTACATTAAAATAGCTCATAAAAGTACACTATCATCTTTCAAAACAAATGCTTAATATTACTGAGCTAAGAAAATGTATTGTAGTACTGTTTACACACAGAAATAAGACAGTTGAGTGTTGTGAGTTAATATCACGTGACAGCTCTAAACCTTCATGTGATGTACCATAGTAACCATACTAACTGTAGTACTCATACTAGTACTTTTTAAGTTAAACAAGGTTGTTATATAGTATTAAAATGATTTGGTATATAAATAAGTAAAGTAAATGAGGTTTAGAAACTCAAACTTAGTATTTAATTAGAGAATATGCTTAGTAATACTGTATACTCGTATACAGCATATACGGAAATTTTTTACTCATGGTATATGCATACGCGCGTAAATATACGCCCGTATTTTCAGCTAAAAATCTCTCTTACGATACGGTGCGTAAGCGTATACGCTGCAGGCGTATCCGTAAATTACGCTACGGTGCGGAGCACTAGACCTTAGTAAAGCCATAGAGTGTTGCCGCACTGTCCTGCAGCTTTCTCCCATTGGCCATTGTGATTGTGGCAAGTCTTTGATTACTCTTGCAGGTTCTCTGCATATTCGATTTGAACAGCATGGACGGACTGCTGATCTTGATGAAGCCATCGAAATTCTGCATGGTGTCTTGGAACTTCGTTGCAACAGTGACCCCTATTTATTTAATAGCCTTGGCACTTGTCTTGAAACTCGCTTTGATCGTCGTGGTCAGACTGCTGACCTTGACAAAGCCATTGATTATTTTCGTGCTGCCCTGAATATTTTAGCCAACAACCATCCAGACCGTTCCGTACACTTGCATAACCTTGCACAGTCACTGGCAACTCGATACGACCACCATAGTCAGACAGCAGACCTTGATGAGGCCATCAAAAATCATCAAGCTGCTCTAGACCTTCGCCCGAATTGTCATCCTTATCGTTCCGTGTCTCTGGTCTCTGGATAGCTTTGCATCATGCTTTCGAATCCGATTTGAACGATATGGACAGGTTGCAGACCTTGAGAAGGCAATCAAGCATGCTCGTGCTGCTCTTCTACTACTACCGGACAGCCATCCTCAACGTTGTACGTCTCTTATGACCCTTGGCATTTCCCTTGCAATTCGATTTGAACGAAGGCTTGGGCCTGCTGCAGAACTGGGTGAGGCCATCAAGCATCTTCGTGCTGCTCTACACCTTTTTCCAGATGACCATCCCGACCGTAGCATCCCACTGAGCAATCTCGCATATTCCCTTCGAATTCAATTTATACAGTACGGAAAGGCAGCAGATATTGATGAGGCTATTGAGCTTCATTGTGCTTCCCTACAACAGTTCCCAGAAGGCCATCACAATCGTTCTGGGTCCCTGGGTAACCTCGCCTGTTCCCTATTATCTCGATTCATGAAATTGGGAATCATTGATGACTTTGAAGAGTGCATGCATTTATTGGAACGTGCTACTGAATACGAATTTTCGAGTTTGGTGAAGCGTCTTGAAAACGCTGGTGTTTGGGCCTGCCTTGCTCTGCAGCATGCTCATTACTCCACTTCCAAGGCTTACAAGGTGGTGACGTCGCTCCTCCAGCGTGCCCTCATTATCAGCCCTACTCTTCATGCCCAACACGACTTCCTCAAATGGAATAGCAACTACAAGGCAATTGTATTAGATGCTGTGGCATATGCAGTGCATGAGAACAAGCTTGAAGAGGCTGTAGAGCTAGTTGAACAAGGAAGGGGTCTACTCTGGTCACAGATGCGCGGTTTTAGGACACCAATGGAGTACCTTGCAGAAAAGAACAAGGCGTTTGCTGACAGATTCACGGAAACTAATCAACAGCTGGAGAATCTTGCAATGTCGAGCAATGTGTTTCAGTCTAATTCCAGTGCAACTGGTAGTGTATTATCAGCACTGAATGTGCGTGATGAACAAAAATTGTTCGATGAAAGCTTGAAGCTGAAGAGGCAACTTTCCAACGAGAAGGAGGAGCTTGTCAAGGAGATTCGACAAATTCCTGGCTTCGAGGACTTTCTTACAACTACTCCTTTTAACATACTCCAGCAGGCGGCTTCAGAGGGTCCGATTATCGTGGTTTACGTCTGCGGATATCGATCCGATGCACTCATTGTCCTTTCCAACAAAGACACGCCAGTTGTCTGTGTCCAATTAGACGGGCAGCTGACGCAGCTCTACAAGGATAGCTTCGAGTTATTGGTCGAACTTTGGAACACACGAGTGGATTCCAAAGTTTGCTCGCCAGAATATGATGCCGTACTCCGTCGAGTAATGAAGACGTTATGGGATAGAGTCGTGTCCAAAGTCGTCACCAAACTTGACGAGCTGGGGATTCCCAAAGGATCGCGAATTTGGTGGTGCCCTACCTCTGTACTTTCTGCATTTCCTTTCCATGCAGCAGGCCCGTTTGAGGATCCGAATGGCACCACGAAGTATTTCTTGGATGATTACGTGCCGTCATATACCCCAACACTCGGAGCTCTCATCAATGCCCGTTCGAGGGAACCAGAGAACATAGGCAATCCTGCAATGCTCGTCATTGGCGACACCGTCACCCTTACATCGACTGGAACTGAAATTCGTGAAATCCGGAACAATACTGGGGGTTTCGTTTCGTCCCACACAGAGCTTCTCAACGAGAGGGCGACTCGAGACAGAGTGCTGAAACGATTGCAGAAAGTCACGTGGGTTCATTTTGCTTGCCACGGGCATCTGGGCTCAGGATCACTGGACTCTTCTTTCAAGCTATCTGACGGAGGATTGACATTGCTTGACATCTTGCGTGCTAACATTCCGAACGCCGAGTTTGCATTTCTCTCTGCTTGTCACACTGCCGAGCAGGATCCACGGGCTTTACACGATGAAGTGCTCCACCTAGCAGCTGCAGTACAGTTCTGTGGGTTTCGAAGCGTAATTGGGACAATGTGGGAACTGTACGATCCAGACGGCCCTCTACTTGCTAGGGAGATTTATTCGTACATGATGCAATACAAAGACGGTGAAGTGATACATAAGCGGTCTGCAGCTGCACTGCGCGAAGCTGTCTTAGAGTTGAGAGGGCAGAAGGGTGTCGAGACGGAGCAATGGGTTAATCTAGTGCACATTGGTGCTTGAATGACATTTATAATGATGCATCATTTGCTGAGTGCTGATTTGTTACACAGGCGTGTTTAGTTCTGCTACAAATTATACATGCATGATCACATTAATGTTAGCTCTCACTTTCTATGTTGCATTGCTGTAATAAGTATATGAGCTAGCCTGAGTGTATATACATTAGTAACTACTTATGCATTTGCACTTTTTGGGTAGTAAATAGTAGTAATACATTTTTATTCATTTATTTAAAAATTGCCACTGAATTCTTCAGAACCTACACTACTTACTATTTCACAAATCCTTCAGAGTCCTAATTTTCTATCCTTAGCATATGGGAATCAGCTCCTTCTTTTTGCCACTTGGCAGTAATACATACTCTGTCACCTGAAATGACAGTTAAGAGGGTACTTGGTTTGTGTCTAGTGGCAAGAAGCTAACAGTAGACACAGGGAAATGGTAGGGATACAGTGAGGGTGTATTGATAGGGGGCAAGGAAGCAGTTGAATAGGGATGTAATTGAAATTTAGAACAGGCAGTAGAGGGAACAGATGCAGATGGGAACGAATGTGAGAAAAGAGAGAAGAAGGTTATGGACCAGATGCAATGACACCGTTCCCTGTTCTTTGTGTAAGATCTTCCAGTTCTGCATAAAGATATACAGTTTATCAACCGACTGAAATCACTATCATTTACGCCTCAAGATGCTTTACGTGTTATTAACCTATATGAATCATACACCCTGATATGTGGATATCATCGACTGCCGCCAACGAGAACTTAGTTCGTCAACCTTCAGCACAACACCTGCAGCGGACCTCCGCAATTTTATCTCATGGGTACCTCCACCTCCAGGGACGCGTACTCCTCGCTCAAGTGCATTCAATACCTCACCAGCCCATTCACCAACCCCAAGTAAGAGTCCGGAATGCTCGAGACACAGAGACCTGCCATCATCAAGTTCAAGACATCCGTCCAAGATGATCACCGCCAATTCCAAAGCGGCAGTCAACACAGATGCCTCACGTTCCTTGTCCTCTTCCACACCAGACATAGGACGCGTTCCAAGTGTCACAGACAACTCCAACGCCTCAGGCGTAAGTACAGCAAGAAATGCCGGAGAGCGTCTCGCAGCATGCATCAGAACAGCAAGCGTTCCGAGGAAATGCGCGAGTACGAGTGGACTAAGAATAAGGCCTGTTCCTGTTCCGCGGTACGCCATTTTGCGATGCGCCGTACGTGCCTCCCTCTCTTGCTCATCACGGAGGAAAAGCCAGAACTTTCCCACCAGAGGTCCAACGAAGTATTCCGCAGCAAGCTCTGAGAACGTGCTTTCCTTGGGTACGTAGGTTGTTCCTACCCTAACTTCGGTGATACGTGTGGGTTGCTTAATGCGGAGCTGTCGTTCTCGGGCGATAGGCGCAACTTTGGCTTCTGCTGCCGTTCTCCCACTCTCAATTGCCGTTCGACTGATGTCTTCTAGCATGCGCTGAACCTGGGCACCGTTCCCTTCCTCATACGCTATATATCTCTTATGAAGAGCCGGCGGTAACTGCTTGCTCGGGAACGCAGTCCGCTCTGTTGGAACCGTTGAAGGAGGGACAGGCAATGACGCTAGCTCGCGTGCACCAAGTGCCAGCGCATTCAGCATGACGAAGCGTTGATCAGTCGAGTACTGGTTCTTGAAGAATTCATCTATAATCGTCCTGGACGGAATTCAAGTAATTATCTTCGTCGTATTGCTGAGAAACTTACGGGGCTGCTTTCCTGGGACAGCACGCCACGAGAGCGGTCACGGCTGCCTGCCTCTTTTGATCGAATTCATCCAGTTCATAGTTGTTCTGCAGTCCGACGAATGCGTAAACTAGATTCACGGCATTCTCCTCTAAACGATGCATAAGCCATATGTATCATTAAGTGAATATAATGACTGACCGAGTTCGAGCCCGAAACCTTTCTTCTTCCTAATCAACTCTTCCGCACAATTTAATGCCATCTCTATCCTATCTGCATTCTGAGGGTCGTCTGGCTTTTTACTCCCAGTTATTAAGTGTGCAAGATCGAAGAGATACACAGGTCGCTGTATCTTCTTTTGTCCTACATGAATCGTTGGATCTTTCTCTATTTCCTCGAGTTCCTCTGCTGTCGGGGATGGAGAGCGAGAAGAGGCGGGAGAAGAAGCGTAGCCTTCGAGAGAGTCGTCCGAGTCGTATTCGGCTTCGACGAGCTGGACTCGTGGCTGAACTGGACTGGACCGGCCTTCTGTCTTCTTGTCCTGCGCTGTCTCGTCTTTCTCCGCCTCAAGTCTTAGAACGTCCGCTTCTGCCTCTTTCGCATCTACATCGCACTTTTCAACCAAGCGCCTGACAACACGCGCCCACTCTCGTCCTTCACCATCACCATCCCACTGCGCAAAGTCAAGTTTCTTATTCGTGCGCTCTGCGACTAGTTCAGCAGCGAGCATCCCACACCGTCGCACGGCTGGGTCAAGATGCGATATATACTGACTAATTGCTCCGATGAAGGCTGGGGAAAAGGCAAGCGACTGCAACTTCGGGTGTGACGCTGGTAATGAATATATTGCGAGAACAAGTGCTGTCGTCAAATCTAATGATTGCATCTGAGTAATCGGGAATAGTAAAACAAGATTATATACATACATTGGTGACTTGAGAGAAGAGAGTGTTTGATGTGCTCTTCAGAGGACCATACATCTATAATCCGAGAAACAAGAGTCTCCTTCGCACGTGGCGGAATAGCTAATCACTACATAAGCGTATGGCTATGAAGAAATAAAAAGCGGTAATACCTCTTTCGTCGCTAACTGACACCCAGCAAACAAGGATTCTCGCCTTGGCGATGCTCCACGTCCTTGTCAGGAGGGCCGACGAGACTGACAGCCACTTCTCATCCTCTTCTCCCTCCAAATTTCCGAAAATTTTTGAAAGTACTATAGCTTCTCGCTTTACAAGCCCTCTAGCCGCATCAGAAGTGTCAGTGTCGTCAGGGAGTTCCGCGAGATGCGAAACGAAAGAGGCAAGGGCCTTCGAGAAAAGGCCTGGCGGTAAGCTTGCGAATATTTCGTTCCATAAAGTTCCGCATGTACCTTGCGCTTCTCCTGATGAAGAATATGTTCGCGACCTGATAGCCGGGAGTACGATGGAAGGAAAGCTCGTTTCGGAAGGCGCGAGCGATGTGGTACTCGGGAATAACCCAATATTCACGAGTTTAGTCATGAGAGAAGTCAATGATGAGACGATCTCTGTGCAAAGTCAGTGATTGGTACATTACGAGCTGTCGAGAGGTTTACCTGAGCTGGGTATTCGCGGGAAGGAAGAAACGAGGATTTCGGATCGATTACATAGCCAAGTGTAATATTCGCGATGACGCAGCTCTCGCGGTATGTCGAGAACCTCGCGTTTATTAGCAAGTTTTGATGGAAGAGAAACAATGCTCTGGACTGCATCTTCCCAAGTAGACGACTTTTTATGAGATGCAATGCGGGAATCCTTTCCAAAAATCGTCGAATGAAGTCGATCTATTGGATAGCGACTCGTTAGGCCACGAAGAATTTTGACGGAGAATTGTTGACGAGGAGATGAAAGTACAGTCGTGTAGGCACACAATGCAATTTCGCTAGCTGCCTGTAAAGAAGACGAGAACGAGTCGGGACAAAAGTATTGATAGAGTATAAGATCCAGCCTTTGCTCCACAAGGGTCGCTTCCCAAGCAGGCGAGATTACCTCTAGAATTGCGGTTTGTATAGGAGGAATGTGCTTGCTTATGTTTATGTATTCTTTTGAATTATTTGGAAACGCATTGGAGTCGTAGCGTTGGAAGATTGGTGGTAAGAGTCCAATGGCTTCTAATGGAGGCGCGAGCAGGGATAGAAGTTCGGAGAGCTCCGACACAGGTGACTGGAGACGGATAATAGTCTCGCGGATTTGGGACGAAACAAGCTCGTTGTACTCTGCTGACATTATGAGACAACAAGGAATTTGAAGAGTGATAAAGTCAGTGCTTGCCCATGTAGGTTTAGGAGATAGAATCCGAAAGTTCAAAGATCCACTGACTCGCTGAACGTAAATCAGAACCGCGTGAGACCTACACTCCCGTTATGGAAAAAGGTTATTTTTGCGAAACCATTGAATTTGAGCCAAATTCTACTCGTCTCGACTGCCATTCTGGCTGGTACACCTTTGCGCTCTCTGCGCTCACTCTTCCACATCTTTACGCAAAGGGTAATGCCAGGTCTACTGCATGAGGAACTCCCTACGAAAAGACGAAAGCTCTTAGGAAATGGCTTGTATCGAGACGTGCTCGGTAGCCCAAAGTTTGTTGTGGCACCAATGGTAGACCAGAGCGAACTGGTGAGCACGATGATATTTCCCATTGACCTGCTCATGTACTTACTATGCTGTATAGCCGTGGAGAATCTTGTCCCGTCATTACGGAGCTCAGGTTGGTGCTCTAACCAGCATGCACACTATGCAACCGTCGAATTTCTGAAAGACTACGTAGCTTGTATACACTCCAATGATCAATGCTCGAGTATGTTCCCCCCTTTTTTTAGAAATAAGGCCAACGCTTATATTTTATCAAGATGTTATCCGAGGATAAGCACAAGAGCTACAAGGAACAGGCCTTTAACCTGTCTCACGGAGAAGAAGGCAGCACATTTGATCGTCCCCTAATCGTTCAATTTGCCGCCAACGATCCAGATCAGTTGCTTAAGGCTGCAAAATTAGTGGAATCTCATTGTGATGCCGTTGATATCAACTTCGGTTGCCCGCAGGACATTGCAAGGCGAGGTCATTATGGGTCTTACTTGCAGGATGATTGGGATCTGGTTTATCGCCTTAGTGCGTGAAATCAATTTCGACTGCAGTTTGTGCGGCTGACATTTGACTAGTTAATACCCTACATGAAAATTTGTCCATACCTGTAACGGCTAAATTTCGTGTCTTCCCCACTGTCGAGAAAACAGTCGAGTATGCAAAAATGATGGAACGCGCTGGGGCCCAGATTCTTACTTGTCACGGTCGAACGCGAGATCAGAGGGGTCAAAACACGGTACGTTGAAAGCTACTTAATTCGGCTAGATGCTCAGCAATTTATAGGGTTTGGCAGATTGGGACAAAATCCGAGCTGTCAAGCAAGCCGTCGCAGTTCCTGTCTTTGCGAACGGAAATATTCTCTTTCATAGCGATATTCAACGATGTCTCGAAGTGACGGGCGCAGATGCTGTAATGACCGCAGAGGCTAACCTGTACAATCCAACCGTATTGCTTCGCGCCTCTGCGATCCCATCTGCATCATGCGATCCCGACCCGTTGTCATCGACGAACGTTCATCCATCGTCTGCATTTTTTACGCTACCCGATGACCCCGGCGCGTACCTCCCGTCAACAGTACTTGCATTTGAATATCTCAAGATCGTGCGGGCATTACGGACGCCCACGCATACAAGCGCGATCAAAGGGCATCTCTTCAAGTTACTTCGACCAGCCCTTATTATCCACACGGACCTCCGAGCGAAGTTGGGGATGGTCAGCTCGAAGAAGGGAATGGACGCACTGCTTGACGAGTACGAGTCCATCATACGCGAGGCTGAGACACGTGTGACGCCAGAGATAGAGCGCGTACGAAAAGGAGAAGTACAATTGGAGGACCTCGTGACCGTCGACGAAGTGTCGGGCTTGCGTATCTTACCGCATTGGTTGGCACAGCCGTATTTCCGTCCGGCAAAACCTAGGAAACCGGACGCCACACAAAGACCAATACCGACCAGTACGCAGAATAGTGCAAAGGAAGGCGAAACAAAGACTGGCCCCCTAGCCAATGACGCTACTTAGATGATGCGACGGCTAAAGGCAGCACCCTGGAAGAAGCTGCTGTCGCAACAGTGGTCTGGTCGAGTGTCGGAGATGATTAGGAAGTCGTGTTATAATTTCATATTCATTACGGATATTATTGGTATACACTTACAGTATAGATCTGCATGGCATATTATTTATTATTTCATGGTACACCTTTCGGGCTAATCTATATTCCCTTCCCTGCTCAGATGCACCTGCTGTTTGTTCTTTGAACCCCAATGGACTCCGCTGAAAATCCGTGACCAAGAAGCAATCCATCCACCTCCGACTTAAGTAAGCCTACACGGAAAGCTGCGAAGGTTATGAGCTGATAGTTTGACTCTCGATTTATTGTAATACTAATTCGCTGTCCCGGAAACTCCGAATGCATCATACTCGAAAACTAGCTTCCTTTCGGCCTGTCTCGGACATTGCGAGCTGTAAAAGAGTTAGGGAACGTACGGATCTACCGACCACTAATGTTCTCATGTTATTACGAGACTATACTATGCTATCTTTGATCTCTCTGAGCGATGTTCCGCTTTCGTCGGCTGGTGGTGTCTGGGTTCGGTGGCAATTCTGCTTTTGTTTTGTTGATGCATGGATTTGACCTTTCATCCAATATTTCAACCAACCAATAAACCCTATGGCTAGCATACACATCGTTACAATCCAGCTTCAGTCCTTCGACATCCATACATGTTTTTACTTAAGAGTTGCGAGTCTGGAACGTGGCTAGGGATTACCGGGATCGTGTTATCACCTGGATCGTCTCTCTTTTGATTACCGTACAGTTCAGAAGCTCACTTCGGAAATGTTAAATGGTCGGACTCTATCTGTACGACTACTGTTTCGTCTCAAGCACAAGAAAGATGACCCAAAAGCCATTCCATGTTATTTTTTTTGTTTCAGGAGGTTTTATGCTAATCATTCTTCAAACATGTAGTGTCCCTATATTTTAAATGATTTCAAATACAGCCGATATGTACATGTGCAACACAATTATTGGATAAGATATATGCGGGTAAAGCACAAATAATAACCAAGGTCCAACCCTATGGATAGTTCCGTTACAACACTGTGGAACACTGGACTGGTCCAACTTTCGACGTGGGATCAAAGGAAGTACCAAGAGCCCTTGAGTACACCCTTGTCCAAAGGTGCGAAGTGCTGGAAGAGACCTTCTGTGAGGTCGAGACCGCCGTGCGGGCAGCCCGGGCACTATTTGTATTGGATGACTGTTCGTTATCGAGTTCCATTATTGAGACAAGTCCCAGACGTACCTCGTCGACTATCTGCGCAGTTACAGATTTACCACCCACAGACAGGTGGATGCTTTTGAAGCAATGAGGGCCTGGATAGCCGCTTCCAAATTGCTGAATACAGTAGAAAAGTCAGTACAGTATTAAGTTCTTCATGTTTACTACATACAGCTCCATTGAGGGCAACAACCTATGAGATGGAGTTAGTTTCGGCGTTGAAGGAAACATTGGAATTAGAACGTACATAGTCGGAGTTCTTGTATCGCTTTCCACAAGCAGTACTAAATCAATCCCATAATTAGGCGTGATGAAAGGACGTTAAAATAATCAGAAATGCACCCACGTTCCAACGGTAATGTCATAGTAAGTCAAACGGGCATTATCATAGGTCTGCCCGAGCATCATGGCATCCATGGTCATGTTTGCGTCAAGACCAAAGTCCAGGACGATTTGGTTACCGTTTGCGATTTGATTATTATCAACTTCAGCAGGTGACTGGCCGAAGGACTCGATGAGGAAAGCGGTGACAAGAGCCCAGACGCGCATGGTAGTGATAGAGCAGAAAGCTTGGAAGAGTGGGAAGTTAGCTGGATTGAGCGACTGTTGAGCAAGGCTTGTTTTAACTGAGGCTCTCATAGCCCTTTATATAGCGAAATTTCAGAAATATCATATCAAGCATGTATGGATCCGGACAATTGCAAGATCCGTGAAAGAAAAGAATATCTCCATACTCGACGAAACACGATGATCGATAGCGTCTCCCCGACGCTCCGCCCGATGCCGGAAACGTCGCCTCAAGCGCTGAACGAGTAAGGGAGAAGACAAGGAGGATCCTGGTCAATGTTAATACGGTACCCACTGATTGAAACTTACTAAAAATGGTATATGGCAGCGATACTCCGAAGTCGTCGACGTGCTGACACAACTTTGTCAGCTTCGTAGTCGCGGAGATATGAAACCAAAGAAGATTGATTTCGAGTCGAAATTGTAAGGTAGATCCGTTAGAGCGCACGGCAGATGCCCACTCCTTGAAAGCTACGAATGCAACATCTTCTCGAAGCAGTTACATCCTGTCGTTTCGTTCCGAGTCGGCCATATCCGGTTTGCAAGCTTGGTTCTCAATAGTCAACGCAAGCGCGTGAAAAGTAAAGGAGGCGTATTGATCATGCTTTCCACAGAATTCGTGCTGTATACGTAACTGTACCAAATAGGACTAGGGAGCACCAATGATCTCCAGTCTTTATCACTTGATTCACCGAGCCTAAGATCATCCCAGACAAATAGAGCCACTAAAAAGCCTTCTCTGATGCGTTGGGGCTGCCGCCGCGAGTGCTGAGCTCGAAGAAAAGTCCATGTCCTTCTGCCTGTAAATCTGTCATTTATTCTTCAAGCAAGTTTCCTTTTCCGTATTTCATATGGATGCTCAATAGGTTTAAATATAATAAAAGCAACACTCACGGCGTGTACCCGGTCAGCTTCACCTCTCTTGACAATAAATAGCTCCCACATCATCGGATCACTAGAATAACATAATCTGAAATCAACGCAAGTAAAATAAAGTGTCAAACTCCGACACCGTATCAGGTAAACTAGCAAAGCCGTTTTCCAAATCCGGTGTTTCAAACTCACTAACGTGTACTACACATCACTTCACGGAAGAACGAGTAGCCTGCGAGACTGATTAAAAGACTTAGTGAATATTCATGTTGGAGGAACTGGTGCATGAAGACATACTACTTGTATTTGACTTCAAATAACACAATTTCGCACTTTAATTATCATAAAATAATAAAGCATGTGTCAACCAACATCAAACAGAGTATGATTTTACATTTATGTCGCGAACAAACAGAAAGTGCCGACAGGTGTCAGAAGCCCATAAGGGGTGCGGGTTCCATCCAGAGAGTAACCAATAGCCTCGACAAGTGAACCGTCATATACAGAGCCACGGCCGAATCAATTGCGTACTCCCCAGATGGAACGCGCATTGCAATGGGCCTTCGCGACACAGCCGCCCCCCTGCTGGAGAGTGCTAATAACCATAGCTGGAAGCCACTCTGGAACATTTGAGATCACGGCATTATCGAACGTGGGGTCATATATTATGACTTGTATTAAAATGATCTGTCCCTGCAAGGGTTTGTCCGACATAGACGAAATTCCTTACCAAATAACCTCAGCAATACCCCTTTCACTAATGGAACGAGTGCGAAAGAAAAGCGATAAGATGGAAAGACCTGCCGCATACCCAAACCAAGTCTTCACAATGAGGAAAAGCGTTACCCTAGGGTTGCTGCTCACGGTAAATGGGTGGTCAATACTTACCCTGCAGTCTTTCCGGTCTGTACTACGAACGCCAATGTAAGCAGTCTACCAAGGTTGACGCACTCACTTTGTAACCATCGCAAGCGAGCGGGAAATTCACCTTGTCGTTTACCTTAATGCTTGCGTGGCCACTCGGTGTACGTGGGATGAAGCAAGCAGTGATTCATGCTGCTGGCAAGCTTTATTAAGGTGCCGTTAAAGAAGCCGCTTAGGTAAACTTCATAGGACTCGCACGTGCGCTGTTTCTCAATTCCAGACTTCACTCTCTCAAGTAACTCAATTGCAATCATTTGTCGCATAAATTCAAAGAACATGAATAAACGAACACCTTGGACGCAATCATCCATATTATCAGACCGTATCAAGCCGCAAAATACTCCGTCCAGTACACCCAAGAATAGAGGGAAAGCGAGGGAAGGAGCAGCCCAACAGCCTCCGAAGAGCGTAGCAGTACGTTCAATCGAAACGACCATCAAGAAACTGCAAATTGAGCCCGGAGATCAGAAGGACCCTAAAGGAGGCTGTTTCTGCCTGGGTGAGCTGAAAATTTCTCTGAATATCTGAATGTTCCGCTCACTACTTATCGCAGCACAAACACATGAACCGTCACCGTATCATCCGATTTGCTCAAGTTGCGGGCTAATTCTTTGTTTGCTCAACAAACCATATTACGCATGTCCCCATTGCTCAGCGGTCTTGTTGTCACCTACCACTAAGGAAATCTTATTGTCCCGTTTACAAGTCGAGCTCTCTGACACGATCGCAAAGGAAGAAGAGGAAGCAGAACGTGCAAGGGACGATGCTCGCCAAGCAGCTGGAGCATTCCCTTCACTTAGTGGAGGAGATGCATCTTCACAGGCACAACAGAACAGGGCCGCCCAATCACATAAAGTGCTTTCATTGAATTCAAAGACAAAGCGTGTAACAGTGGCATCTTACGGATCCTCGCCTACGCTCGTTTCTAATTCCAACTCGAATCGTCTAGAGACGCGCAAGGAGGAATCACCAGAACGAGTACCACCACCATCAGTGGATATTGCAGTAGCTCGTGGACGGTCGGATGTAGGTCGTCCTTGGATGGATACACGAGGTGACGGCTTCGTCCGCACGCTGACTTACGTGCGTGATCCACGGATTGACCGGGAGCAACTAAAGGAGGATAGGAAAGCTAGAAAGCTGAAGAAGAAACGGGATGCAATAAACTCTGCTGAGGATGACAATGGCGAGACTGCAGGTGACGGGGGCATTGCAGGTTCTTGAACGAGGCTGTCGGTCCCCTAACTTTGCATGTTTCACAAGAATTATCTCGTTGCCATTCTAGTGTTTGCTATCGCGATATTTACTGTTGGTTTCGGCCCGTACTGACACGTCGCGTTTATGAAATCCTTGTTAGCATTCATCTGATTTGTCACAGTTGTGCTACAGGACACCTGATTTATTCATGGAAAAGTGAGTAGGAGAGCCCCGCCGATTGGTGTACTCTAGAATACTGGTCGTGTTGCGTGGGATGCCCTAATCCGCTAAAAAATCAGGCGCAAAAAAATACCCTGTGTTCAAATTCCAAACCTATTGTCACGGCTACACCCTCTCAGAATTTGTACTGTAAAGTGTCTTTTAGTCGTAATGTAGGCTTCTACTGCTTTTATCAATGCCGGAGTTTACTTATCTTGTAACTGCAGAAGATAACGACTAACGATCTTGAAGTGACATTGACAACGGGTTTTCATACACCGGAGTTTGGTGTTGTTTGTGTTTACTTTGACTCAGTGTACCGCGAGCTGCTTTCTCACACGTTTTGACTTCTTCAACTCGCTGTCAGCGCCATGGTATTGCCGCCCACACAAATATAGGCTCACATTATGACGCTAGGACTGACTGTGATATTCAACTCTCGGCTACTCGAATGGCCTCCGTCATTGGCTAAGTGCCGATATACAACCTGCCTGGAAAGTCTTCAGACATTTGGCGTTGCTTTTTTCAATGATTTGTCCTGTCTACCTGCCGCGAAGTATTGGAGTAGCTATTCCCGAATTCTTCATATTGGAACGGATTTATGTCGTGATTCCCAGGCGCTCTCTGTCGAATGAGAAGCTAGTTCTTGACTAGTTTCATCCTAACCTGGCATGGTGCTGCATCTTGGGCAACATAATGCCAAGCCGACATAGTTTCCAGGCACTAGTCTTCCACCACGTTTAAACGCTCTGTCGGAACTTTGTATATCCCTCAAGCCTCTTTTATATTGTCTGGCCTAAAGGATACCGATCAACTCCTGTTCTGCGCACTTAAGATCATGGTATTTGTTAAGTAGCTTGAATTTAACCATACGTTAAGGCACGCACGTTTATTGAAACTCCCGGTGTTGCCGCAGTACGATGTCTATGGCAACACGGCACAGACACCGTGTTGCAGTGCTCAAAGTGCAGTGCTTTCGCTATTACACAGCATAACGCGGGTGAGCGTCTTTCTTAACATGAATATGAGGATATCAAGTTTTTTCTCACACTTTCATCGACTGCTATATGACAGTTGTCATGCCTAAGATGCGCTGAGGTCGTCATCTAATGTTTCACTACCGAAGCGCGCGTTTGGGTATCGGCTGGAATCAAATCCGGGGCGACATCCCGAGTGAACATATTCAGTTTCTGTTGCGTGAAAGCCTGACAGTTACAACTTTTCCTAAAAGTGTGAGGAAAACTCTTGAATGGCGCTTTCTCAGCTCAAATTAGTATATCTACCACTTTTACTTGCCTACTTCGATGAGAATATTCGATGGGAATGCGGATCGAGCCTCAGGCACACTGATGACGGATCAAAACGTCGGCGTCCATCCCTTCGGCGGGAGAGTGCGCCCATGAAGTGATTTTGGCTGCTTGTATGCAAAAATTAGTCGTCCTTAACGGCCCTAATATAGGTAAACAGAGGCGTAGGAGAAGGTATAAAGAGGCATACCTAAATTCGAGGAGAAGCAACTTGAGTTGTCTCTGCAGACTTCAAGCTCTTCCTTCGCAGTTCAGCATCGAAATCGTCTACTCTTCTCTCATTCCGCCATGCGTTTTTCGACCATCTCTGCTCTCTCTCTGCTCGCTGCCATTATGCCCGCGGCCGTTTATGCGAGCCCGGTCGAATATAACTTGACTGCGCGTGCTGTCGACATCGAGAAGCGCGCCTTCACCAATGCGAGGTTGACGTTCTACGACCCCAGCGTCGGCACGTAAGCACCAGTTTGCGACAACTATGGTATTGAATATACTGATGATGTTTACAACATACAGTTCCGCTTGTGGGGTCGTAGGCTCCAACAGCGCCTTTGTAAGAGTTTACTCTTATTCAGAATCAACATCAACTCAGTTAAGGTCCTTCTGACTTCCAATAGGTTGTTGCGTTGAATGCACAGGTAAATATAAGCACGTGTTTAAAGCATTGATCATTGAATGACATCGCTACTAGCAATTCGGATCTGGCTTCCCAGGACCCAACTGCTTCAAGGACATCACTATAACTGCCAATGGAAAGACCGCTACTGCTCAGATCATTGACAAGGCGAGCTTCTTTACATTATCGCGGCATAATGGACCTTCCATCCTTACTGCTTCTGTTTATAGTGTCCTGGTTGTCCGGCAAACGGACTGGACCTTAGCGAGGGCCTATTCCAATTCTTTGCCCCTCTTTCTGTTGGCGTAATCACTGGCTCATGGAATTTCGTCTGAGCATTCGCGCGAAAGTTAATAGAGGCCCGTAATGTGCTGGGTTAATGGTAATACAATCTCCTTGGTTGGGTTGGGCTGCTGCTTGGGAAATACTGTATCTGCTCATGTGATAGAATATTGTAAACTCTGTATGTACTCCTGTGGATGTACCAAGTTTTGTGTTTGGGATATAGATCAGAATTTATGAATCTGTAGTGAATGATGTGTCTTGAATTATTGCTGACTTTACTGAGTAAATATAGAGAGAAATATATTCCTTGTTAGCAGACTCAGCACTTGTCTTGTAATGTTAGTGTATAAATGGAGTCAATAGAGCCTGGACTTTGGAAAATGACAATATTCGTGATTTTCTAGGCCAGGTCAGGCCGAATCAGAGAGATTTTTGAGCTGACTCTTAACTTGACCTAGAACCTGTACTGATCAGCTGGGTCAGGTTTGGTCAGATTAGAGATTGGCTCAGATTATTCAGTACATACAATAAGCAGGAAAGTGTATTTTTTCAAGTTGTAAACATTCTACTACAGTTGGTATTACATAGGTTTAATAAGATTATTATACTTGTCAGAAGCAAACACGGCGAGGAAACCAACCCGATCCTGTGTAAAAGAGTTTCTAAAACTGGTTCTTTGTAATCTATCAATGACCCCAAGCTACCAAATGTGCAACAACCAGCAATCTAAAGAACGTCCATAGTATTATTCTGCAGTCCTAAAGAGTGCACGAATGATAGGTTATCCATGCACGCAATGCGAGCCGCATGCTCAAGATGCTCTTTTTCTCCTGGCAACAATGCACACGCCGTCTTAAAATAGCGTACAACTTTGAAGACACATAAGGTAGCGGCTCGATTTTAACGTCAACATATATGTCTATTATCCAATGCAAACTCAACTCCAGTGGCAGGAAAGTTCCGTGGTTTCCAAAAATATAAACACGTGGCGACCCAATGTATTCGTGATCTGTATCTTCCTTATGGCAATGCTCTCATTACAGTAACAAGGTAGATCAGGCCTCAGTGATTAATATTTGCCTTGGATGCCTCCTAGTGTCTGTGGAGCTGGTACTGTATTTGTCTGTTGCACAATTTCAACTAGTGTTTTGCCGAATACATTCTCTTCAGTTGAGAGCAATGCTCATCTGAGGACCGAGATGCAAATACTATCTTTGTGGTTCATATATACTTCACTGACTTTGCTAGAGAACTGGGCGGAAGTTGAAAATTAACCCAAGTGCCATCTAGTTTCTGGCCTGCTTATAACTGGCTTGAATGTAACAAGTTATTCATTCAAGCAACCAGTTACTACAATCTCTCAAGTACAACCGCCTGCGACACTAGCATTAGAATGAAGGTCTACAGTATCCTCCTTACGAGCATTCTTGCTATAGCTCTTCCTATTGCTAATGCAGCAGACACAGTCAAGAATGCAAGGATAACGTACTATGACCCAGGCTTGTAGGTCCGTCCACATACTTTCCAGATAGATTCTACTGACACTGGCATGCACAGAGGAGCGTGCGGAAAGACTAGCTCTGCTAACGACCCAGTTCGTACCTTTACTACATATTAGTATTCTCAGCCGTGCAGTGTCCTGAAACGGTGTTCTGCAGGTTATCGCTCTTAATGCACAGCAATATGGTAATGGTGATAAGTGCGGCAAGCAGATAACCATCAAAGTTGGAGACAAGACAGCGAAAGGAACCATCTTGGACAAGGTAATATTGCTTCTCACAATACAGAGCTAGGTAAACAATGTCTAACTCGGTTTGCAGTGCCCAGGATGTCCGGAAGGAGGACTCGACTTGAGTCCTTCACTTTTCAGTAAGCTTGGAGACGAGAGTCAAGGAGTTCTGACAGGGGAATGGAGCTTTGACTAAAGGTTTAACTCTGAGTACTGTACTTTGGCGGGCACCTCACTATTGTTGTAGAAAGCTTGATTCATTGATAACCTTCTCGAAAATGAAATGTATATGCCTTAGTCAATACAGTAAGCAGATTGAAGGTATTGCTAAACAACTACAGTTCTCGCTCAGTAAAGTGATGTAGGCAGGGCACAGTTCTTTCCTTTCAAACAAATTCTCAGAAAGGTCTCAGGCTCCAAAGATCGGCACCAGTAAGCCACACATATCATAACTATATGCGCAGGATACACAGGACGCATTTGCTTTTCTGTAATACGGTATCTCTTAAAAGTGTGGTAGTTATTGAATATAAAGAGTACTAGGCCCGTCAAACAACAAAGGAACCTTGATCATAAGTCCAAACGCATAAGCAGATTGGCCACATTGAGGTTCGCTTAGACAGATTTATCAAAGCACCTGAACGTGTGGCCAGATCTGCTATTCTATATAAAGGGCAAGCTCCCAGAACACGTTGATCTTCCTTCTACCCATTACTTCCGCACACTCACGGTAATGAAGTCACCCATGTAATTAAAGCCACTCATTAACAACTTGATTAATATCAGCATCTCTAAATCTCCGCGAGTATCCGTTATAATCTTCTTTGTACTAGTAGTCGATTGATATGGCACGTACTTGGGATCAACGGTATGTTAAGCTTTACTGCATATGACTCCCGTACCATATAAACGTATGATCGTTGTATAGTAATGGCCCCCCACCCCGTTCAGCATATCCTTCGACTCGAGCTGCAGTAAAGCGACGAGCAGAAGAAAAAGAAAAAGAAAACACAGATTACCTCCCAAAGGAAACCGAGAGCGCGTCTTCGAAAGCAGGAGTAAAGACCAATAAACCTGCTCCTGAATGTCCGAGTGAACAGTGCCCTTGTGAGATATGCGTTGCCGCTGTAACTCTACTTGACTTGCAAAAGGCTGCCATTGTGCACAAGGCGAAACGTCAGGTGCGCGCGAAGTCAACGAGGGCCGCCTCACGTCGAGGGCGCGTTCGGAGTGAGCAACTATGAACTCAAACCTCACGTAGCAATAATCCATCTATTTGTGCATAGTCACCTTTACTGCAATCCGCTTTTAGCCACATTGTATTATACAGTCCTATTGTGAAGAGGACAATCCTGTCTGCATACCTCCTATGTACCAATAGATCGCAAACACATATTACTTTAAAATTTACTTTTATTCTGCTCCTACCACGGCGTCCCACGAAGACCAAAGCTGCTTGGAGATTCAATAGAGGTGTTATTCGTTAGCTGCGGACAACAAACATACGTCAGAAAATCACAAATGAATACTCTCTAAGAAAGAGGAGAAACCAACCGCATGATTGATCTGCTTGTGCACGAAACATAGGTCTGACAGAATTTTTATCATATCAATTCACCGGATACGCAAAGACACACAAAGACGCCACTTACAATCAATATAACTCATCGCTCCACAATTACTATCCTCTACAAGCATATCACTTAGTTCAAGCTCTGCAGCATCCAAATTCTGCCGGGCAATCATCAAGCGCGACGAGACACCGGAACGCTCCATTGTCCTATGAGCAATGATATTACGAATTTGAGTCGACAGACGAGAGGGACGCTCAGGTAGTCGGTTCTTTGAAAAGGACGAACGAACGATAACTCAAAATACGGATCAGAGTTACGAATAGAAACAACTTACAATCGTCGGATCTACATCATGAGGAGATTCGACTCCGAACAAATCAATGAGTATCTGCGATGAAACGCCTGACCCAATCCACAACACCATGACTTCCTCGTTATCTAATACCGATTTAACTGGTCTTCTACGTTCACGAAGGAGCGAAACATACCTATAAGGTATAAGCCATCCGAGAGCATACCAGTAAATGTATTGCGCATTAGTGATGGTAGCTGCAAACCCCTCAGTTGCGTTCCGTCCGTTTCAAAAGTAAGTGCAGGGTCTCCATCCTTGTAGTCCACGGGCAACGCAATCGTATCAATTAGGTCATGCAATGCCAGGAAACGTGGATAGAGATGATAGAGTATCGATCGAACAGACATCGACAGAAGGCGCTGAGAAAAGTAATTCCGTAAATCCGCAGGAACATTGTGAGCTACATAGAAAAGAAACGAAAGTCAGAAGTGCAACTACAGAGTACGTACAACATATAAGACAACATACCTCGTAAACTACGATTCTTGTGTAATGCTAGGATATACAGTGGCAGCAGTTTAAATGCTTCAGGAAGTATGAGCTTCGGGAGAGCATCTATCAACGCTTCGATATTACTACACGGGACGATTACAAGAGAACATACTTGTGAAGGAGACGTTGCAGCAGCGCAGTTCCGTCGATAATCCAGGAGTATACTCGAACACTTCTCAGTGAGTGTGTCACGAATCGATGATAGAGATTGACTCGCTAACGATCCCATAGCTATGTTATAAGACTGTCAGCCTTAGCAGAAGCATACCTAATAGTATCAAGTTTACCTTCTTTTGCAAGGAAAGCAACAGTTGCATCCGAGTCCGCAAAGCGGAACACGTTACCAGCAAGTGAGGCGACTTGAAATGCAACGTTCAGAACACGCAAACGTCGTACTCCGTCTCTGGCGGTGTATAACAGTGCGCATTGCAAGTGTGCATATTCTCTTGTATCAAGAGTAGAACTGCGACCACCTGTATGTGAAAGCTCGACAGCAAAAGCAGTGTCGGCATGCATTACACCCAATGTTAGCGCGCCAGGCGAGACAGATGATTCCGTGAGGGCACCATAAAATGCGCGCGTTTTCAGTCCGCGAGAGACGCGCACACGCGCCTGGCATGAATATCCAGCCTCGCGGGACACTATACGTGCGACGAGCGACCGGAGACTTCGACCGTCGCGTCGAGGGTCGAAACGAGGAAATAAGCGGACGTCGCCTCCCGTCAGTTTAGCGATTACACCTATAGCCCACATGATTATTTATAGCTTCTAACAGACTAGGTGTACTAACCTATTGAAGCGAAGTCCACGTATGCTATTGTACCAGTACCCGCGAGTATAGACACGCCAATGCCCGCTTCTGCGAGTTCCTCAGCGAGGTCTAGCCACATCGTATCTCGCGGGATGAACAGTTGCTTCTCTTTGTCCGTATCGTACATCTTGCTCTCGTCTAGACGAGCTTCGGAGACGCCGGGTCCGATGGAACACATTGATGATTGAAAAAGGATAACCTGGCCACCACGTCGGGCCAGTGCAGCAAGGCACCCGCGCATTGCCGCCCCGAGAGCACAGAGATGACCTGGTGCCGCATCAAAGCGCTCAGGAATCGAGACAAGGAGCCTTTCCAACACATTCCTAGATGGTGCATACGTTAAAAGAGGTAAAAGAGTTTGAGAGAAGGAAGCATACCTCGAATTCTGTGGATCAACAAACACCGCGCTATCTTGCAAAGGCGAAAACATTTGATCTTCGACATCTGGCACAACAAGCATAGCTGCAGTATCCCTGTAATTCTGCACACAACGATTAAATAAAGCCCATAGCACAGAGGGAAATATTTACCGAGAGATCATAAAAGTGTAATGAAGTATCAAATGTTAGAATCCCAACTAAACATTTGTCCGGAACACAAGGCTCCATCCTTGTTCCGTCGTCCATCTCACCACCATACAAGACGCCTCTGATTGCTTGACATGCTGCATGCACCATTCCGTTCCGAACCGCTTCCTGCGACACGTCAATTGTAAAAAGCATGCGCATCGGCTCAGGAATTCGAGTAGAGTCCGATCGTGGCGGAACTTCAGGAGTAGTATAAGATGGCATAATACGCGGTGGAGGATGTGCGGCAAAGTATTCTGCACCAACAACGAAGTCAACCGTGCCCTTGTTCAGCTCTGGACGTTGTAGATGATCAAGTCGCATTTGGTTTGCGTCCAAACCACAGAAATATTCAGGCGAGACTGATCGGAATGTAAGTAATGCTATATATGCGAACTATCATGCGGGATCATACCATCCGTATAATGGCCACAGAGGTTACACCTCCATTTCGAACCCCCGGATACCCAGGTGCACCATGGATTAATATATCCTCGACATTCCGCACAACGTGCTGGCCCACTCTCCCCACAGTCGACTTCAGGGATTTCTTCCTCACCAGGCTGAATCCCTGCAAACGGTTGAATAATCGCGGCTATAGGTACCTTACAAGAGTCGGCTAGTGTGGCAGAGTAGGGGATGTGCCATGTCGTTGCGCGAACGAAACGTGGTGAAGAATTGCCTGTTTCTCGCGTTTTGGTAACACGTAAATGTAGCGGCGGGGCAGACACACACCTTGATCGATGGAAACACAGTCCGTTGTTGCCAGTGGTACATGGTCGCCAGGAAGGGTCATGTGAGGTTTGCCTGCCCATAGCTCCGCATCGTATTCCGCAACGTCTACCGGGGAAGGAATCTGCTCCGGGTCGATACGCGCACGAAGACCTAACGAACACAATCAGCAATATATAGCAAATAGGGTGCATGTTGGCGGTATTCCACCTTGGTATGGCTTGCCGGATGTATGCGGTGGCTGCGGAATGTGTGCGCTGTGCGCGAACATCGTCGACAACGCTACGGTCTTTCAAGACGTGTCGGGACGTGGTGCTGATGCGTTCACGTGATCTACTGTCTTATGCATGAGCGTCTTTTTCGCTTCTCCGCCGTGCAGGAACCAGGTACTTGCTCGCTGGTTCCAATTCTCCAGAAGCATCTATCCTAGACAAGGTTGGTCCGTCTGACTCAATGGAAGTTCTTTGGACAAAAAGGTCAAAGAAAAAAATACTGTTACTTGGTGGCATTGCAGAACTTGGCAAGGTCAGAAATTCTCAGATTCAGTGGTTCCACATAAGCCTCTGGCTCACAATAATTAATACAATTACAGAATGTGAACTTCCCTGATAGAATCGGTTTGAAGTGGGGAATAGCAACTTTGTTCACACTGGCAGACTTCTAATACCATCTTCACTCTTTTAATGATACCTAATACAAACCACAGTATCAAGCTGACTAGTTGAAATCTTTGAATTGTTCATACTAAGAGGGCATTAACATTTTTCAATGTTCAGGTTTTATTCTTGTGCCAAAAATGGGTTGAGTTTCTCATGGCTATTCAATTTTATACATAGTACTACCAGAGCATGAAAGAGAGCAATCTTTGCAGGTCAGATAAATTCCCAAGTTCCATCGACCAATCCGTGGCTGTTAATGTACTGATCACCACCTCCAGGATACAGGAAGTCGAACAGCTTTAGGGTTATGTCCAGGTCACCACTTGGGCAGTCGATGCACTTGGTCATAGGTCAGATACTGTCAAGTGATTATCATAAGAATGATTTAGCTACCATGTCTAAGACAACAGCATCGTGCGACTTTACGGGAGGAGGAGTGGATACTCTGACCCTCTTTCCACACATGTTTCCTGTGGAAGTTTTATATTGCTTTTGGTAACGAAGGGTTGATACGTTGTTAGCACTAAATTGAGGGGCACGTCATTACCCGTGGGCTTACCGCTGGAGCTACGAGAACTTGCTTTATATATTGTGACACGATTTTAGACTAGCTGATAATGATACATGCAGCTCTCAACAACTTACAAAATCATCCGCATCTCCTTTAATGCCGCATGAGCTTGAAAGAATTTGTGAATTCAAATATTTCTATATCGATCCTGATGCAGCATACCTAGTGTAATTGGTAGGTGGTTTAAATGGAAAAAATCCGGTGTTTGTATTGTATCGTTTGGTTATACTACTAGAAGTGGATAAAGACGCCAAGGAAGTGAGAATGAAGAGGGTGAGATATCTGGAGGAAGGGAGACGCATAACTGCCGTATTGGTTCAACGATGCACTGGCAGGCCGCAGAAGTGCCCCCATTATTTAATATCTTCTGTATCGCTTTGCAGTCTGGTATGGTTTCCTTGACGAAAATAATTCACAATGCTTGGCATCTACTATGCCTCGAATGACAGTTCATTGCACTGCTATGAATATTGAGGATCAGTGTAAGTAAATATGACTCCCACTTTGAGAGTTTGCGATATTCAAACCGAGATACCAGCGGTCCCGTATTGAGGAGCTGAGTTTACTGTGGAAAGGGGCCCGATTCCCGAATGAGTCGATACCGCGAATTTTAACGGAATCAGTAAAAGCCGAAGTGCATAAATTTCTTAGGTAGATAAATATTGAGCTGCAGTTGCATATTGACAGTGCTTGGATGCGTCCGTTCTCAAGGCTGATTAAGTTTCCTAATTTTAGGTCCTATGCTTCCATTGCGAATGGATGAGTTTGGCATCACGTGTATCTTTGCGGGGGGTAGATGCAAACGTGTTCCTTCTGACCCCAATTGCACTCCCCCGTCGCAGCACCATGAGACGAATAGCAGGCAAACCATCCTACAGTGTCACCTGGACATTTAATTCTAAGAATTTTATAGTGAGCCTAATAAATATATAATGCTTTCTTAGGGCTCATTTCCCTGAATACTGAATATTGAGGGGTCCAAGGATAACCGATGAATCATGTTGAGTTGAATAGAATTCCCAACCAGTCCTACGTGCCATTCATGACCAGTGTCTAAGAAATATTTTAAACTATTGTATTATATGTATTGAGTAATAAAGAGTCTGGAAAAGTAGACAGTTAAGAAGATAATGTATTCCTTCCTTCCTTCCTTCCTACTCGAGCATCTGCTCTTACTGAGCCTGCTTGACAGTCATAATATACTATACTATACTCAATATTTGATAAAGTTGTTAGTACACATGATTCAAAAGTGTACACAGTACAGCTTATTATTAGAAAAGAGACAGTTTACTTTACTCACTTAGTCAAAATAATGTTAGTAGAATGATTCTGAAAGAAAGAGTATTGATAGTAAACACTTATGTTCACACTAGAACAGAGATAAACAAGATAATGAAAGCATGCTTAACATAGAGAGTAAGAATATTGCTCTACTTACAGTTTATAAGCAACTGACAAGTTAGAATACCTGCAAACTTCCCTATCTGAGAAGAAAGCCATTCTTGCATTGTAATTCACAGTGGGGCAAGGTTTCATCTAAGGGGTTTTAAACTAACTAAATCCATCAAAGCAAACGTCTTGGACTGTAATACAAAGCACAAATTCCTTTAAATATGAAGGGTCCAAGAGTTCAACTTGCTTAATCAATACATCAGTTATGCATCTTCTTACCTCTGGATATTTCCCCCTCTTCATTTTAAGTGCCTTGGTACCTCTATCTACTTCTAGAAGCATAGATAAACGATATCAGACACACAACGGTTTTAACGTATTTCAAGCACCCTCTGATTTCACAAGGTATGTTGAACTAGGAGTAATACAGCTGCTTAGTTTTAACAGTTTTTTCAAGTACATGTGGTATTAAAGGAGATGTAAATGCTTTTGTAAGTTTTCGAGATTTTGATACATATTATCAGATAAAGAAAGTCTAAAAACCGTGTTACAATCTACAAAGCAAGTTACCATGAGCTCAGCGGTAAGCTGACAAATGATGTCGAGACCACTAAATTTAGTGCTAATGACGTATTGACCTTTCGTTACGGAAGCAATACTCCAATTCTTCAGGAAAGAACCAATGCGGTAGGAAAGTTAAAGTATCCACACCTCCTCCTGTGAAGTCGCACGACGCTGTTGTTTTAACTAGTGTAAGTAGTTAATTAACCCTTACAATATTTACCTCACAGTAACTGACCGATGAACAAGTGCTCCACCTGTGCAAGCGGTGATCTGAATCTATCCCCAGCACTGTTTAACTATCTTTATCCTTCAGGTGATGACACACACAGTAATCAATACGGACTCATGGATGGTTCATGGGATTTCATTTAACTTGTAACTTGTAAAGGCACCTCTCTTCCTTACAGTACTACTGTAGCAGTATCATATGTAACAACGAAAGATTAGCACGTCATTAGAAATAATTTGAGGGGCTACAATTACGAGAACTTGTGTTGAGAGGGAAAACTTAAGGGGGGCACGCATAGACAAGGGGTGAGGTGACAATTGACTGCTCAGTGTCTCTCGTCCTTATATTGTATGTATTCTAACTGAGACATTATGAAGTCATCGTCTTGTGGTTCGTCTGTTGATAAACTAATCATCTCATAATACTCCCCTTCAAACTCTTACTAGTCTGAGTAAACTGGTAAGATGTTTGACTTGTGGTACATGTAGTGCTTTAGTTAATATATCTGCTCATTGATTGTTTGTCTGTATGTATTTCACATTTATGTACTCTAACTCAATGTAGCATTTAATAAAATCTTTCTTATGATCTAAATACTTTGTTCGTTCTGAATATTTGAGTTCGTCTGATGTAACTGTTTGTATAACAGTATTGTTATTGTAATAGATATTAATTGGTGCATCAGAGACCTGCAGAATCTCTTTAGCTAAATGAGTAAGTACAATTGCTTCTTGTGTTCCTCTTGCAAGAGTTATTAATTCAGCTTTATATGTTGAATTTGCCACCAGTGTTTGTCTTTTACTTGACCATAAAACTAATGAATTGCTCAAGTAAAATGCATATCCTGATATTGTACAATGCCCTTCTTGCATCATACCATCTGTGTCTGTATATCTGTTCAATATTGTTTGATTTGTACTGCCAAGTTGGAGCCAGACATTGTTCATAGTTTTTAAGTACATGTAACAATGTTTAAGTGCTAGATAATGCTCCATACTAGGGTCATTGAGGTATTTAGCTAACTGATTTGTTGCAAATGCTATATCTGACCACATACAGTCTACAATGTATCTAAGTGTGCCAACCATGTTCATGTATAGTATATCAGACATTTGTTCTCTATTGTTATTGGTTTGCAATACTGTTTTTAATTGTGTACCAGGCTGTATAAGTGTTTGTACACTTTGTTCATTTGTAAGTTTGTAACGTTCTATTATACTATTAATATAATGTGTTTGATGCATCCTAATGAATCTATACTCTCTGTCATGTTGAATCTCTATACCAAGTAGCTAGTGTAATTTGCCACTGTCTGTATATTGTAAATAACATACAATAGATTGTTTTATCATTTCAATAGTATTATTATTCATTGCCACAATAGTAATATTGTCAACATGTACAAATAATATGGCTACAGTTATTTCTTTCTTCTTTACAAAGAATACAGTGTTATCATGCTCAGATTTCATTAATCTGTATTTAAGTAGTATATTAGATAGTGTTTTATACTATCTTCTACCAGCTTGTTTTAATCTGTATACAGTTGAAAATATCTTATTGCATAATGTTGGGAGAGTCCTCAGACCTATGCAATATGAGCAATATGCATTATGGTAACCGTGCGAAAACATTACTTAATTAGGAACCCAAATTCGATATTACTTTTCAATTTATTTGAAGACATATACACTATGACAAGAAAATAAGCACATATTTAGAGCATCAAGAAAGACAACCAAGACAATGACAAGTACAGTAAATGTGTATATTACTGTAAAACTCAAGAAATAGTTTGTAATACAAGGAAATACAGTCAGAATCTGTAGAAACAAAAAGATAGAAAAAGCTAGTCAATACAAATAACTTTCCCCCACATATCATGAAGAGATCTTTGCTACCCTATCTTAGTCTTGTGGCAGCATCAAAGACATTGTAAGCAATGAAATGTCAATCAGAAACATTCTTTTTGTATTAAAGTACATTAGAGAACAATATGTAAGGCTTCTGGGTACAAAAATCACAACAGTAAGCAGTCTAATTTCCCAAAATGCTCAGAATTTTGCATAATTTTCTCACAAATCTTGATGCAATATGTAATAGACTATTTTTGTACATAATTCCCTTATCCTGAGCCAGGATTAGGCAGAAAGCTATACAATATTCAATTTATACATTATAATGTGATACAATAAGGTATTTTCAACTGTAGTGCTTTTTGTAATTGTAATATTTGTCCATTCTGTAATCTGTCTATTAAGTTACCTGGAGGAGGTTTAACATATATTTCTTTGTCTTCCATCAATTGTCTATACAGATATGCTGATTTTATATCTATCTGATGTATTTCATAATTATTAGATGCTGCCCATACTAATATTAATTGCACTATAGATAGTCTAGCAGTAGGAGCAAATAAATTGTCTGTATGATAGTTAAGGCTGTCAATCTGATAGTTTCCTTGAACTACTAATTGTGCTTTGTATTTTTCTATACTATTGTCAGTGTATTGCTTTATTTTATAGACAAATTGTGTTCTAATAATGTTAATATTATTGTGTGGATTTGTGATTTCCTATGTATTATGATTTTCTAATTGTTTTATTTTGTCTTTCATAGCTGTAATCTATGAATCACAATCTGGACATTGGATTGCTTCATAAAATGAAGTCAGATCCAATTGTATTTCACTTATTTTAGTATTAAATTCTGTTAAATGAATGGCAATATTATCTTCATCCTTTTCACTAAGTGTATACATGTGTTTTGTTATGTGTTTATTCTCCATGTGTTGTTCAAGCTCAATAGCACATTCTGTCAGTTTCTGTTTCTATTCTAATCAACATAGTTTAGGTTCTACTTCTTTTTTGGTTAATTTAACTTTGTTGTCTGTTAAGTCTGTTAGTTCTACTGCTTTTCCTTTTTTATTAGGATCAGTGTTGTCTGTATCATTGTTGTCTGTTCTTGTTATTCTATCATCCATTTTGTTATTTTTAATTATTAAACACTTGTTTGTATTATTGTTTGTATTGTCTATTTTCTCCCCTTCAATTTGAGGAGGTTTACCTTTGAGAAATTGAATATTTCGTTTGATGGTTATTTTATTATTGTGCCAAGTTTTATAGCCTTTACTTTCATTGTCTAATCCTATCTAACAAGCAATGATACCTTACTGTTGTATTTTTGTAGGATTTTCATTGTGAATGATAATATATTAACCAAATTTGTATATATTATCAATTGTTCTGTGGGTTCTGTAACGTTTGTAATGTGGAGTATTGTAATTTAAAGTAGCACACAGTGTTCTATTATGAATATAAGTAATATGAATTGCTGCTTCAGCCTATAATGTAAACAGTAATTTAGTAAATGTTAGATATGCTCTTACACCTCTAAATATAGTTTTATGAGTTTGTTCTGCTATTCTGTTCTGTTACAGAGTATGATGTACTGTTAATCTTTGTTTTGTTCCTTGTGAATCTAAATATTGTTGGAAATCTTCACTAAGGAATACAGTATTGTTATCACTTTGTAAAAGCTTTATTTTAACTCTGTACTGTATAAATATTTTGGTTGTCTATTGTACATATTGTATATATGTATTGGATTTTGTTTGTAATTTGAGCATTATGTACTAACAAGTAGAATCGTCTACAATTGTTAATAAGTAGCATATGTTCTTATATGCATGCAGTTCAATAGGACCAATGATATCAATATGAATAAGATCTCCAAATTGATTTGCAAGAGGAGATTGATGTAGTTTTAGTATTAGTGTACATTTGATATTTACTTTTATACATTCAATACATTCTTTTTCTTTGTAGTTTGTTATTTTAGTTAATAGTACACTTGGTTGTGTCTTTAATAATCGTTTAATATAATTGTAACTTATATGTCCAAGGTGTTTATGTATATCATAAATAGATAGTTTGTTCATTGTTTTTAACAAATGATTATTGTACAAAATATACAAGTTATTTCTCAATCATATATGTCTGACATATTCGTTACATAATGATGTTATAGTATAATTATCATTTGTAAACATAAAAGAATAACCTTCCCTACATAGTAGCACTTGACTTATGAGGGAAAAGTTCATTTGTAGATAGTAATAGATGTTTTGTAATGTTATAACACTTCTTTCTTGTATATTCTTTGGGATTTCGATACACATAGATCTAGCTCAATTAAGAGTCATTGTTAATCTATTTACAATAGTTACAATTGTAAGAGTTATATTGTGTACATCTGTTAATCGAAATAGATAAGGAGTAGTATGTATTAATGCACCAGAATCGAGTAAATCCATTGTTTGTGTATAGGATTTATTGTTAGCTATGATTGTATTTGTAAATATGTTGGTACATACCCAGGAAGCATATTGTTCAAATTGTTTGTCCTGGTTGCTTGGAATAAGAGTATAGACATTATTGTTCATTTCAATGTTGCTTTCCTTTAATTCAACATTGTTTTTGTTTGGGTTTTCAATAATAAATGTGTTTGTTGTGTTTTCTGCAGTTTGGTTTGTTTTATACACAATGTTAGCTTGATGTTTGGTGTGTGCAAGCTTCATAGCTTCAGTAGGAGGTTTAACTGTTTTTCTACAATTGAAACATTTTGCTTTTGTCAGATTGAACAGATTTGGCAGATTGAATTTCCTCCACTTATTGACTTTATACATTGTATTAGTGTGTACATTATTCTTTGTCTGATCATTAGAATCTTGTGCTCGTTTAGCACAGTAATTGTTGTAGGCATTCTGTAATGTAAGGATTAGTTACTTTGGTTTGACTTTCTTATGTTCATCAACTGGTTTGCCTTCATTTTGGGCATCAGTAGATTGTATTATCATATTTACTATGTGTGTATATTACTCAGGAGTAGCAAGCAATATTGCTGCTTTGTATGTAGAGTTGTGTGGTGGATCACTGTTAGTAAACAGAGTTGTGTATGCTTCCTCAAGTCTGTCTAATGTATGTCCAAAATGTTTTACATGGTCTCTACAAATAAATAGTGCTGATTTGTTGATAGCCTTTTTATGTACTGTCTGAGGGTTAAAGCATTCTTCAAGCACTTTCATTAACTGAGGGATAGACATATTGAAGTGCATATAGTTTGCTAATATTGTGTCAGTAATGTTATTAACTATGCATGCATGAATGGCCTTAGCCATCTCCCTCTCAGCTTTGTTCTGTGGTTCATCCTTTAGTAAGTGTTCGAAGCACATAGCTGCAACACTAGAAACAATGCAGTAGTGCCACATCTTGTAGTTCACTTTGGTCTTAAGCATTGTAATGTTTTGACCAAAGTATTTAGGTACATTGGCTGGTTTACAGTGTGTATCTGTATGTGGGGGAACCATGATGCAAATGTGTGCAAATGTATGTGAGTAAAGGGTTTAGAGTGTACAGTGGATGTGTGTATGCAGGGAGCTCAAGGCTCATAACCTGTTGAGAGGGAAAACTTAAGGGGGGCACACATAGACAAGGGGTGAGGTGACAATTGACTGCTCAGTGTCTCTCATCCTTATATTGTATGTATTCTAACTGAGACATTATGAAGTCATCGTCTTGTGGTTCGTCCGTTGATAAACTAATCATCTCATAATAACTTGCTTTGTCGATCAAGACACAATTCTCATATTTTCTCTGATAATGTTATATATAGGCATAATGCAGCTCTCAATGAGCTGCAAAACCATTTGCATATTCTTTAATGCTACATAAACTTGAAAGGACTGTGAGGTTAACAGTAACTTCCTACATCGACTCAGATGCAGCGTACCTAGTATAATAGGCGGGTGGTTTAAATGGAAAGTTTGGTGCTTGTATTGTATCATTTGGTTATGCCCCAGAAGCGGATAAAGGCGCCAAGGAACCGAAAATGAAGAGGGCGAGATATTCAAAGGAAGGGAGACGCATAACCCATGTAGTGGTTCAATGGTGCAGAAGCACCTGCACTCATTATTTAATATCTCCAGCATCTCATCACAGTTCAATGTGTTTTACTTAGCCAAAATAATTTAAAAAACTTGGCATCTACTGTACCTTGAGTGACCATTCATTGCACTACTATGAATATTCAATATCAATGTAGGTAGATATGGTTCCCACTTTGGAAGTTTGCAATATTCAAACTGAGATACTATCTGTCCTTCGTTGAGGAGCCGGTTTAACTGTGCAAAGGCCCGGAGGTCCGAATGAATCGACACAGTAGTACCACGTACCTAAATGGAATCAATAAAAGTCGGAGTGTATAAATTTCTTGGATAGATCACTATTGAGCTGCAGTTGCATATTAACAGTGCTCGGATGCGTCGGTTCTCAAGGTCGATTAAGTTTCCTAATTTTAGATCTTATGCTTTCATTGCCAAAGGTGAGTTTGGTATCACGTGTATCTTTGCGGGATAGCAGATGCAAACATGTTCATTCTGATCCCAGTTACACACTCCTCGCAGCGCCATGGTACGAATAGCAGGCAAATCATCCTACAGTGTCACCTGGACATTAATTCTCAGAAATACTACATTGCCAAAGGAACTTATAGTGAGCCTAATAAATATATAATGCGTTCTCGGAACTAAATTTCCCTGAACACTGAATATTGATGGGTCCAAGGATAACCGATGAATCATGTTGAGTTGAATGGAACTCCCAACCAGTCCCATGTGCCGTTCATGAGCGGTGTCTTCTTGGGATCTACACCTTCCGGGGCAAGAAAGTCATAAAGAGAGGCACTCAGATCAATGTCGCGATCCGGGCAATCACCACACTGCATTCATTTCAATCATAAAAGACTAGGACAATAACATATCAAACGCAGACGTACATAGCCAACAACTTTTGCGACCGCTGATTTAGTTGTATCGTTAAATTTGGTGCGAACAACAACGTTCCTGCCACAGTTTTTCAAAGTACCGTTCTTATATTGCTGGAAAGAAAAGCGTGTCAGCATGCGTGGATACTTTGCAGCGTAGATGCATGTCCCTTACCTGCGGAGCCACGAGGACCAGCTTTAAACGGGTTTACTGTTCAGAAGGTGTATGATAGATAGTATCGATGCGAAGACTCACATATTTATCCGATGTCCATTTCAGTCCGCAATCACTACCATCGATTTAGAGAGGAGCGCGGGTTCAGGTGAATGAAGTGAAAGGACGCACCCAGTGAATTTGTAATTGTCAGGCACTCTGAAGTAGCCAGTGTTTGTATCGTATCGTCTATACAGAATTTTAGCCATAGATGAAGGAGCCAGGGCGAGGCTGGCAGCAAAGAGTAAAGAGGCGATATGCATGGCAGGATGGGACAGTCAATGAGGATTGCAAGCACTTGGAAGGATGATGCATATGCACTTATAAAGCCCATTATGGGATCCAGTTCCTTTGCAGAGTCAAGCATTGATATTGACGATAGATGCAAACTAAGCCTTCCTAAGTCGCAGTGTACATGCTCTACGTGCAGCGTTACAATACAAACAGAAGAGTAATCATCGAATAAAGTCACCAGACATTTTTATTCCCAGAAAATATTACACTAACAAATAAAATTCTAGAACTACGCCTAATAAATATATGGAATTCTCTTCATTCTCATTTCCATAATGACAGATGGACTCCGAGATGGCTGATGAATCATACACTGAGATGAACACAGTTCACAACCAATCCCATGTGCCATTCAAGAGTGGGTGGTTCTTCTTAGGATCTGTTCCTTCCGGTGCAAGGAAGTCATATAGAGCCGCACTTAGATCAAGATCGCGATCCGGACAATCAGCGCACTGCATTTAAAGTAAGTCATTCATGGTTCAGCCAGTGTCATGTCGAAACAGACGTACATAGTCGACAACTTTTGCGACGGCCGCTTTGGATGACCCGTTGAATTTGGTACGGACAATGACGTTCCTGCCACAATTGGTGTGTGTGCCGTTTCTATATTGCTAGAAAGCAATTGTGAATCAGCATTGATACATTGCAACGTGCCTGAATCCCCCTTACCTGTAGAGCCATGAGGACCAACTATCAAGAGATGTATTGTTTCAGTTAAAATATAATGGAAGATTTAATGTGACACTCGACTCACGTATTTATCCGGTGTCCATTGTATTCCGCATTCCCTAACGTCATTTCCGAATGTCAGCGTAGCTCAAGTGCCTGCCGTGATAAGACGTACCCAGTTCCTTTGACGGATTCTGGCACCCTGAAGTAGCCAGTGTTCGTATCAAACCGCCGATGCAAGAATTTAGCCGTAGCTGATTGAGTTAGAGTGAGGCCAGCAGCAACGAGCACAGTAGTGATACGCATGACAAGATAGTAATTTCAATTAGGATTGCAATAACATGGAGAGAATGTCCATGTACTTTTAAAGGCGTAATGTGGTAAGGAACCGTAGGAAGCAAAGTGTTCACAATTGGCTGAACCTACTTTGCCAAGGAGCGAGATCTGGGATAAGATTCATGAAGCAGTAAACAACAATATGTTAGATGTCTCAGGTCTAGTCCATAGATCGGTTAAGCACTGGGCAGACTTAGAGGGCAACCAGTGTAAGGGTTATAAAGAGGAATTGAAGAACCTCACTACTGAATCGGCATGTAGGAAAGAAACAGCAGAATACCTATCTGGGTTATCTTCTCATCAGACAGTGTTTTGTGTGCAATGTAAGATGGTCTTGGCGTGGAAAAGAAGACGGGTAATCGCTTAGTCAACTTTTGTTTTGCCAGAGAAAATGCAACATTGCAATACTTGTCCTCCAAGGTCTATGTATTGTATGTTCTTTAGTTAAAATACCTGAAGGATATTGGGAACCATTAGCAGTAACTAATGAATTTAGAAGCTCGACGGAGGCAACTCTAATAACGGAAGAAGGAATTTTGGCTTCAGCAGATATTGTGTAATTTGCACTAATGAGATGTAAACAGTAAACCACTGGTATATAGTAATGTTACATGTAGTTTGACATGGCATGACGCGGAGGAAAGATCGTAATGTAAGATGATAGTAAACGAGAGGTAGTATAGAATCGACCCGAGTTAATCCTCACTTCTTTCTGTGCGGCGTTGGATTTGTAGTAGTATCTCGGTATTCGATACTCCTATTCAAACGAATCTCTGCCTGTATTTCAGGAGGTAAGATGTGGGTGCACCATAGACTAAAGCACCTGTGAGGCTGTGACTGAGATTGATCCCGATCGTCGCACCGGCATTCATTCTCGAATTCGTATGCGGGCTCTTCCTCCGCCTCGACCGTCTCATTTATAACCGGCTTTGAGCGTGGCGGAGGTCCATAGAGTCTGATGAGGCAAGGGTTAGTTGTTTACTACAGAAGTAAGAGAGGAAGGGATGCATACGCATCATTCCAAGTGCGGGCCATAGTGTAGAAAAGAAAGGGTTTACACAGTGATTGACAATGTATAGAATGTCTTGTTTCGGGCTCAACGAACGCGAAGAGATGATGATGGGTAGGGCACTGAAAGGAAGAAAGGCGAGTGCGCCGGGCCTTTATATATGTCCGGGCCACACAAGACAAAAGGCCAGCCGGGATTTGCCGAGCTGTAAGTAACTTGAAGAATAGAATGCCTTTGTATTTATCATGCCCATGCGCAGCTTGAGCGAACCTTTTTGTTCCGGCCGTGGCTGTGCTACTCACATTTATTGAATTAGTCCTGTCTAAATGGTGATGTCGATCCTGCATTCAGTTTTGAGGCCAGCATCGGATAGCCTTAAAGCAATGGTTAATTTGCTTAATGATGGCTTGGAAAGACGTTGCATTCAAATCCTTCTGTGAACAATTGTCGTATCTGCCGTCGAAAAGTGACCACATAAATGTGGAAGTTTACCGAACCAACATTAGAATTATGTTGCTATTATTGTATTCTTATTGATTAACGACTGTTAGTTGAATAGACATGCTAACAAAGTGCTGACTGTTATCGTTAATTTCAGCCGAGCACTGGTAGGAATGAGACAGAAATGCATACCAAGTCCCATCTCTCGCTCAAGTAATATGGAGACCACTGGAACGTCCATACTACACGTCTCTCCTCGGTCGTCCAATGCCAATGCCACTAGACCACTAAAAGTCTCTTCCTTCGTTCCAAAGGCAATCGTTGTCAGGTAAACATGCTGCTCTGTCAAATTTGACTCTATTGTCTAGTCAAACAATGGCTTATTAGAAGCTAGCGAGCGTTCCGGAGACAAACTCCATACCTGAGTTGAAACGACTATACGCTTCTCCGCACCAGTATCTAGTAAGAACCCTATACGCACTGTTCTCGGAAGGTTGTCGGTGTGAGGATACGTTTCCCGCTGTAAGCACGGACAAGTACATCGGAACTGGAGCGTCACGTCATAGCGTTGGCCCTGCAGATCCAACGAGTCCAGGCTAAAATTCGCGACTATATTTCCTTCATTATGCTTGCATTCATGGACATCACCACTAGCACTGCAAGTATTAGCTCCTCATACTGAAAAATAGGCAAATAGCGCTCACTAATCAGAGAAGTACAATGGAATTTCAAGGCGCCTCGCAGGTGGCTTTTGCAGTAGACGGACGGAGGCACATATGGATATGAGCACAGCGAGGATGAAGAAGATACTCGAGCTGGCCGTCATTGCAAGTGAGATGCTCGTCGAAGTAAGAAAGCGGAAGTGCTGGAAAGTATCGTGCATGTTCGTGTGCGCCAGCTTGAATTCAAAGGCAGACATGGTTATCGCAGGACCCACCAGCGTGTCTCAAGATGAAACTGCGGTTCTGTCACTGCATTATGCAGCTACACGTTTATTTAATGAGTTCAAGTTCGTAAGAAGGTGGCTACCTCGCACGGAAGGCCACCACAACGCACCTTGAAACAGCTACTTGACAATGAACAGTCGCAAGCGCGTCGTCCACGAGAGGAGGAACAGTGTGGTACAACACGAGTTGCATTATGTTGCAACATGTCTCGGTATTACTCTGAAAGACACAGGCGAGTGTAGCGTACGTAGTAAACTTGGTAGACTAGACCAAGTGATGGTTTTCCCGCCCGAAAGTCTGACGTAAAGTTGCAGGTGAATGAGTCATTCATTCCCACGTACTGGCGTCTTCTATCTTACGGCGCCGTCGCCGTACCTCTATGTCGCGACTCACAAAGGTTTATTCTCGCTTTGCCGTAAAGTCACTAGCACAACTAGACGGGATCTATATTAACAGGACTCTATTCGCACAAGAAATCTCTCTGTGTGTAGCCCGTACACGTAAAGTACCTTTTCTGATACATACATATTACATACAGTATTATAATGGTATCCGTCAAGGAGCGTTTAATCACAAGTGCTCAATGTGAATGATGGTGACAAAGCTTCGAAGATCCAGCTGTGGTGGTACTATTTACTCCTGCAGGGACAGTCGCGGACGAAGTATAGCCTGGGGCACTTGAGTTGCCAGGGTTAGCTGTGGAATTCGCGGCTCCAGTACTTCCAGGACCAGTAGAGTTCGGAGCTCCAGTACTTCCAGGACCCGTACTTGGTGCTCCAGTTGTGGAAGCATTGGTTACTGTTGTGCCGCCTCCGCTTCCGTCTTTAAATTTCCAACTTCCTGAAATATGGCCAGCTCCTTGGTCAGCAAAAAAGCTGAAAAGCGATGGAGTCAAGTCAAGCCCTCCGAATGGACATCCCGGACACTGGGATACGCAGATGAGTCAAAAGATTTTAATCGTTTCGAGGTACTATGACTGACACTGTCTTTTATAGTAGCATCTTTTGTCTTCCCGTTCGCTGTGATGGTTATTTCTTTGTTACAGTATTGTCCATTCCCGAATTGCTAATTCAAGTCAGTGAGTTCTGTTCATATGAACAAGAACAGGGAATGTGCTTACCGCGGTATTCAAAGCAAGTATCTGGCACCAACAATTATTAGGTACGAACTCTCGCCGAACAAATATCACTCACAGGCTGATTGTCATTATTCGTTTCGCCGCATGCTCCCCTACACGTTCACAGTGAGACTCCTCTGTTTGTTCGAAATAATGGGGCCATACTCACAATCCAGCGTTATAGAAAGTGATTCGAGCATTTGAGAATTCCTGTTGGGCAACTGCTAGAAGAGTGAGGGCAGAAAGATACGCAAGGAGAACCGATAACATATTGTGTCTCGCCCTCGGCACGAATGCACGAATACGTTAGGTCTTGAGACGTTAGACAAGCTTGACGGAAGGGAGACGATAGGGTGCGTACTTGCTAGGTGCTTCTTGCAAACTCACTCATGGCCGGCTCGTGCTGCATTTTGCCCATCTTGTTCAGCAGTAGAATCGCAATGGGATTTCTTTCGTGCCTGACAGTCAACATCCAAACGTTACGTCGCCATCACTAATTTTGATCTGCCGCTCGTTTGTCTTGGTATTCTGCAAAGTCAGCCTGATACAAAATGCAGTCTTGTCACTGAATCCTACTGTTTACGCGAAAGAATCACGTGAACCGGATGACACTGAACTTTGCAGACAACCGCAATGCAATATTACCTCCTTTGATAGCTAGGGAAAGCTGAAACCTCCCATACAACTGTTGCTACGCTGGAAGTATGACACTTGGCAAGAGCGACTCGTGACCAGCGTAGTTTCTGTCAGAGTTGTTCAAGTATCACCATTGTCTCGCGGAATATCATCACTTTGTCGCTCATTGCGAGTCATTGACGCCAGGCGTCCCTGTCCTATCTTGTGGGACACATGGCAATTCCCTTGAAGATCTGCCTAGGTGAATCTTATCGGTTGTGCTGTTATTATTATTCTCATCCTTGCTCGCCCATCATAGCAACACCTCTGTCGTTGTGCATCACTTTGGCACCATCGTTTAGTCGAAAAAGACACCTCTTACAACAAGTATCCAGCATTCCAGACATTCTTCGCCTCATGTACTAGTCAACTTTGCCGTGCTCTTTTATGTAATCCCTGGACTTTAAACCTGCTCGCGCATATTTTGAATATATGGCAAGTAATGATACTCGATGTTCTGTAAGTGGATTACGTTTGTGCATTTTGTATGAGAAAATACTAATAGTGCCCTGTTGGTGTCTCATGATTGGAAAGCACCAGGGCATGTCATTTTCTACAATCAGCAGTAGTGTATCTAATTCTATCTATCTGTCTATGTATTGGGCTCTTCGGAAACCCTATATACTTTACACAATGCCTTACCGCCTTCTACCACTCGATTTTCAAGTTGCGGTAGTAGGAGCAGTCGCGTTAGTGGTAGCGGACGTGTTACCGCCGCCGCCACCGCCACCGAAACTCCATGACCCAGTCACAGTCCCACTAGGCAAAGGCGCAAGTTGCGCGAAGACCGACGGCGTCAAATCTATATCGTTTGCTCCGCAGCCCATGCACTACAAAGAAGGCATGTTTATGCAGACGACAGTAGCAGCACGAGAGATAGCTTACCTTATCCTTCACAGTAGCCGTGGCAGTTTTGCCACTGAATGTTGCCACGATAGTCTGGTTACAATGTTCACCGTTGCCGAATTGCTGACGGGTCTCTGTAAGTATTGTCTATTTTTATCAGATTGTCGAGACTCACCGCCTGACTCAAAGCGACGACCTATATGATATTGCGTCAGTCACTTGAATGAATGACTATGATATTAATTAATTACTCACGAGATCAGCATCCGTATTGTTCTGACCACATGCACCTCTGTGTGTTCGAAATCGTGAGATGTGTATCAACTGAAATACCTTCATACTCACGTGCTGGCGTTGAAATAGGTTATACGAGCGTTCGAAAACTGACCACCAGCGGCAGAAGCGGAGGGATTAGTGCTATTACTGGCAGTGCTGCTTGCACCTCCCGTCGTCGTCGTGGTCTGTCCCATTACAAGCATTGGAATGGCAACAGCAAGCAAGCCGGCGATACTTGTACTCCAGGAAATCATGTCTGGATCATCAATTCACGAAGCGCGTCGAAGTCCGATTATACGATCGTGTCACTCAAGGACTAGTGGGACGGTATTTCTCTACCCTCCTGTCTGCTGCTCATGCCTCGCATATAAAGGCGACACGGTGTCCTATACAAAGTGCTTCGTGCATCCTTCTCTTTTGACTCAGGCAAAGACAGAAAGAACGACTCGACGCAGTGCATGAGTACAATGATACATCGATTTCGTGTCAAATTACTAGTATCGTTACGCTTGCATGCTCCTTATGTATGATCTGGACGTTTACTTTGCATCTGAACCTTTTGAAAGGCTGAACATAGAAGGAATTACTCGCGGTTCGTGCCTTGGGGTACTGCAAAGCTGCACTGTTCGCAAAATGGGGTGCACGTTGGCTTTTGGTCAATCCTTCCTCCCACACACACACCAATTCCTTACAGTCAACAATGGTCTTAAACGAGCGTCCAGTAATTATAATCGTGCTGAGTGGAAAGGTGGACCCGTGTATGCGCTGAAGAATGTATGCTGATCGACACGCTGAGTACCTGTGAACAGTGAACACTGGGCAAAATGATTAAGCATGTACAAGCACAAGTCCTGCAACTCAAGTGTTAGAGGTAATCAGTAATACCAAATGGAGCGGGGAAATTCAGAAATTATCCCGTGCATGCATGTCCAAGTCTTTGGAATCCGAAATGAAGCTGCACACTGATATTAGCACCTTTTTACCTTTCCTAGGCCTGATCTGAGCTTTTTGTTGCCACCCTAGCCAGACTGTTTGCAAATATTTTGTACTGGCAAAATTCAGGAAGTCTGACGTTAGACGACCTTACAACATCTCCACCATCTCATGTGAAATACATAGTCTGAAATCATGGCCTTTTCTGTAAGGTGGCGGCAAGGTAATAAAAATAGTCTGAAACGATGCAAAGCTGCTACAAGGACACCCACAAGGGGAGTGTCAGAGTATCATTGCGAAGTTGCCTATTGTCGTGGACGAGATAATGCCTGGAAGTGGTATGCGCTCCCTATAAGTGAACATGTCGTCCAAGGACCTCAGAGTAGCAAATCCGAGCAACCTTTTTGTAGAGTAGATCCATCGAAATTGGGAAATGAGACCCCTTTACTGTTCTTAACATATTGTAATTGTAGTTACCGATATTAGCCTAATAAACAGGGTATACAGTAATTGCTTGAATAAAGGCTTCAACATTGCCAGTTTACTGAATGCACCTGTGAGTTTGCTTAAATATAAAGAAGGCTGATGGTGATTGCCAGTGGCAGATAAGTTCTTGCTAGAAGGCTGTGTTGGTACACATACTGATTGACATGGAATCCTGTCCACGTTACAATTCAAGAAAAGGCTTTCTTTATAAGGAGAGACGTTAGGATGTCCAGAAAGCAGAGGTTTTGTAGGACAAATATACTTTGTAATGTTGTTTTACCTTCTCTGAAAATCTAGATACAAAAGGTATAGAGTTTGTGAGGCCAATAACTTAATTGCACAGACTACTGTTTCTGTATTTGTAAATAGTGTATTTAAAATATAGACCCGGGAGAGACAGCTAGTGAAGTCCGAATGCTTCATCAGCTATGGATTGTATCTAATATCTATTATTAGCAAGAGATCATTTTACCGGTTAGTTAAGAAGTCTAAGAAGAACTGGTCTTGCACCCTCCACTCCCCTGACCAGATGCTGAAGTAGGGGAAGTCGATTTTCCATCTGAAGTCTTGGTCGCTGAGGAATGACTACTGCCAGAATCGGGTTTGGAACCAGAAGGTGAAGTTGCACTTGCGCCTGAGCCAGAGCCTGTGCCTGTTGCAGTTTCTGGAACCGAGCCCGTGTGTGAACTGGAGCCAGAGCCAGAGCTTGATCCAGTCGACGTCGAGTTACTGCCTGAACTACCACTACCGTCTTTGAAGCTCCATTCGCCAGTTAAAACACCTTTGTCCTCAGACGCAAAGAAGTCAAAAAGTCCGCGTGAGAAGTCGAGTCCACCGTACGGACAACCAGGACACTGAAAGCAAATGGTAAGTGTACAAATCCAGAGTTATTTCAATGCGCAAATGGCCCACCTCGTCCATTATTGTAGCGTCATGAGTCTTTCCACCGTATGATATTGTAATCTCTTTGAAGCAGTTTGGTCCTGGATAGCCTGAACCGAATTGCTATAAATGACAGATTCTGTCGGTGCTCGTAGGGATGAAAGGCAAACTACACACCTGCGAATTTAGGGCAACAATCTATATGGAAGACGATGAGTATTGTCAAACACACATCAAAAGATATTATTTCATACAAAGTCACTCGGTTTGCTTGTCTTCCCGCATGCACCTCTGAAAAAAATAACATGTTAGAAAAATTCAATGGGGAGCAGGGGGAGACAGCATACAGTCCAACGTCATAGAACGTAAAACGTGCATTCTTGAACTGTCCCTGCCCTGAGCTTGAGGACGACCCGGATCCGGTCGTCGAGGAAGGGCTACTAGAGTCAGAGGATGTTCCAGTACCAGTCTGCAAGCTGGAAGCTTTCGTGGGAGATGCTAAGGTATTAAGTGGGAACGTAGAAGCAATGAGGGCAGCAGTAATGATACTCTGTAGAAACATATTCAAGTAGTGGCTGGTGGAATTAGGCTAAAGGAGTGTTCACTGTGGTATTAATACTGTTGAGAAGAGTTACAATAGTCCCGGACTCCCCTCTCGGCCTGGTCTTTAAAGCCTATTCGCAATGTCAGGCCCCAGGGACATTGCAGAGCACTCAGTTCACATGAGGACAACGGAGGTCTTAATATTCAGCGCATACTTGAAAACTGAGGTAGCATGGTTGCAATACCAGGAGATCTCGGGCAATAACGCAGGACAGCTCCGTTGCAAAGGGCTGTCGTACAACAAAGAAGAACACCTGTCTTGAACACAACTCGAGAAGCCTGCAGACCACAGAGTGCACATTACTCAAGGGCTGCCTGAGTTGACTCGTCGTTCGAGCCGAGCTATACCTCAAAATAACATCCTTTGCACTACGTGTGCAGGTAAAAAAAGGACAACTCGCGTTTGAACGCCGAGCTCCTGCTCCTGCCCGTACTTGATTGCCACACTTCTGCAATGTTTTTGCTCTCATAGTATACAGAAATTTGAAGACACAAGCAGATGAGATGAAGACGTGACAACGTTCCATAGTGTGGGTCCAAGTCAGTTGGATGTATCTGAGCCAGTATCTGTCTAGTACTTTGCAAGAATCCAAGAAGCGATAAAAACGAAGGAAAGAAACGTGCTGCACCAAGTCCGAAAAGCCCGAAGTAATGCGTGGGAAAGGAATATCAAGACCGACTTAAATGTTTTCAACAAAATAAAACAATTCGAATTTGAGTCGACAGACGAGAGAGAGACGCTCAGGTGATCGATTCTTTGAAGAGGACGAATGAATGATGACTCGTAACTTGCAACTGTCGGGTCCACATCATGAGGAGAGTTGGCCCTGAATAAGCCAATGAGTATTTACAATGGAACGTTCGACCCAAGCCACAACACCATGACTTCCTCATTATCTAACTGCCGTATTAAGGTGGTCCCGCGCACTATTGAAGAAGATAAACGTACCTATAGGTATACGCCATCCGAAAGCGTTCCAGTAAACGTATTATGCATTAGTGACGGCACCTGCAAGCTCCTTAGATGAGTTTGGTCAGTTTCAAAGATAAGCGCAGGGTCTCCATCTTTGAAGTCTACGGGTAGTGTGATCGTGTCGGTCAGATCATGCAGGGTTAGGAAACGTGAAAAGAGATGATAGAGTATCGTCCGAACAGACATCGACAGAAGATGTCGAGCAAAGTAGTTCTGTTACTTTCGTAAGTCTGTAGGAACATTGTGAGCCAGATAGAAAAGGGACAGAAGTTGTTACCTTATGTTAATAAGCTTCAGTCTACTGAATGCAAGGACCAGTGGTCTAGTAGTATGATTCCTTGTTAGGGTTCAGTACTCTAAACTTCCAAGTATGTTTATAAAGAAGTATATATTCTAAGAATATATACAATCAGGTATATTACAGTTAGATGTAAATAACACTTTAAAATGAGATATTAATTTCTTAGTTAATAATGAAATAGAGATTTATTATTATCTTAAAATACTGAAACATAGTTCTATATAAGAACTTTGGTTTAAATTAGTTATTCTGAAAGACAACAGTATTAAGAATACAAAGGAACACTTTTAAGAGTTATAGTAACACATTACTTACTAATTATAATAACTTTTGTTACTTATTTGTATAAGTTTTACTGTCATTTTCATAAATATTGTCACACGTGTGATTCGTGATTTTCGTCACACTAAGTACACTCAAATACAAAATCTATCATAACTCAACTAATACTTAACCAAATTACATGATCTAAGTTGTAAAAAATATACTTTTAAAGTGTCTTTCATATCCCAGAAGAAATAAAGTAAAATGATCAAAATTTGAGTAAGATACAACACAATATGTGAGTTTTCCCTATATTTCATGTATATGAGTTTTCCTGGCCCTAAAACTGATTGTACACTACTATAAACTAGTCTAAATGAAGAATATAACTTTATTGTTAATTTACATATTGAATTCTAACTAGGATACAG